GCAGAAAATAAATGCAACTGATTTTTTAATGAGCCAAAGCTGCTGTCTTTGTTGCCTGGATACACGGAAAAATTTTGAAATTATATTTTTTACATAATACATAGCATGCACACATTTATATATTGTAGCACATACAATTCGTGAGTCAAAATGAATGACTCAATTTCTCATGTATGCTATAGTATGCATCGTGTTATAAATGTCTTAATTAAAAATGCATATGCATGCAGAGGTTATACAAGCAAGTTTTGAATGTGCTTTTTACAAATGTTCAGTGTGCCCTCTCTTTCTTATATGGCATACATCAACTTTAAAATAATAATTTTTAATGATAACTTTATGCAGCATATTTGCCTCGATGATGGCTTGATAGTAGCTGTGATACTGGTTTTCTAATCAATGAACCCGAAAGCACATACATGCCACTTTTTTTGAGCCCCGAAGGGAAAAGATCACAAAAGTGAGATCTGGGGACCGTGCTGGCCAATGCAAGAGTCAATTATTTGCCATAAAGAGACAGTTATTGTGCTAGATAAAATGCGTCGCTTTTCTATCCGTATTGTTTTCACAGAGAAGCTGATAACTATTAGACTTCCAGCACCATCTATTGCCGATTTTTCAAAACTTGCTTACATTACCTCTGCATGTAAGTACATTTTTGATCAATACATTTATTACGTGTCGTATAGTATGTTTAGGTACTTTTCCGTTAGTCGGGTGCAAATGTCGCCAATTGCGAACCAAACGCGAGCCAAGTCGCCAAGCGATGCGAATGACAAAACAGTCAACGGAATAAAAGTCGAAAAAAAGTTCAACTATAAATAAATATGTATTAATAGTGACCAAAACAAGTTCAATTATAAGCAAATATTAATGAATTGTTAACAATAGAGTTTTACCCCAAAAGAATAGTTATAATAATTAGTTTTACCCAGAGGCGTATCTATGGAAAGAAGCGCCTATGGCAAATCGCGTACTGGCGCCCTTCCTAAAATATTTATATTCTCTTTCTTTTCTCATGCAATACGAAATAAAAGCATTGTTTGAAGTATTTAACCCTTTTGACAATGTTTCAAAAAGATTGCATTGCATTTAAAAAAAAAATAGATTCATAAATAAATAAAAATTAACTATAACAATAAAATTATCTCTTTTTAATTGCAATGCATTCACGTGTGTTCGCGGTTAGAAATAAAAAAGTCTGTTTTATCGTATTTATAGAAGATTCTATTGCGTTTTTTCAACTGTCAACAAAAATTCTAACAATTTGTTTAATTAAGTACAATTATATTTTAAAGTTTTACAAATATAATTAGGTAACTAACAAAAATACGCACGCGGAACAACAATAACAAGTACAACAACAGCAAGAAGAACTATGACATAATCGGATGATTAAACAATATTTTCAAAATTAAAACTGAAGTAAGTTTGATTATTTTAAAAAAATAATCATGCTTTGCTAACATGAAAACAATAAAATCATCACAATTCATGAAAGATCACAGTGTAAATAATTACCATTTGCTATGACGATTACAAATAAAATAGCTACAATCAAATTATATATTTTGGTTAGTTTATTGACTGTTCAATAAAAAAACCGGCTCTCGTAATATAGTTATCTAAGTTTTACAAGCATTATATAATAACAGATGTTAAGAGAAAACATACACATAATTAAACAAAACTCTCGACTAAATATATACAATACATTCTATAATGAGAAATAAATTAGAGGAAGTTGACATTTTAGTTTAAGAATATCTAGAAATAATTAATTTGCAAACAGTGAAAAAAAAAGGGCGAAAAGTAAAGAAATAGACCAGAATACATTCTGGTCTATTTAAAAAAAAAATTAAATTATGAAAAAATCTCTCTTCCTCACAATGGAATAAATTAGAGATAAAGCAAAAAAATTAAACAGATTTGAATTATAAATTTTTTAGACGTTCAGTGAGCAAAAAAATAAATAAATAAACGGACTACCCTGATAAATTTTGATCTAATGATCAGATCTTTACGTACTTCTCATCTCAATAGTTCAGGGGGGTGACTTAAAATATGTTAATCACAAAATCAATACAATTTACTAGGTCAATAATGATAACAAAGAGGAAAATAAACGCACTGAAACTTTACATTATCAATTCAAATTGGAAAAGCGCATAAAGCAGCTGAAACGAAATTTGTATTATATAAACTAGAAATAAGACATAAATTCTTAATAATTAAAAATAAAATATAATATATAAATGTGTGTTTGCAGAACAGTACTGCAAACATACATTTATATATTATATTTTATTTTTAATTATTTTTAATTATTAAGAATTTGTCTTATTTCTAGTTTAAAATATGTCAATTAATGTGTGCAGGGGCGATATTTTAAATTACGAAATCAGACACTAAAACGTACTTTCTCTGAATCAACATGCCATTTTTTCGTCGGATTTGGATTTTTATACCCCAAAATATAGGGAGTAGAAGCAATTTAAGAAGTAACTCGAGAGCATTTCAAGAGAATTGAAAAAAAAATTTCACGCAATTATAAAGGTCGTTTTTAATTGTGTAAATTGCTAAAAAATAACTTTTAATAAATATTTATCATTTCATTTAATATTAGTTGCAAACAGAATTCAATTGTATAAGGCAGTGTTTCCCAAAGTGTGGTACGCGTACCCCCAGGGGTACGGAACAGTTTAGTGCGGGTACGCGTTCTTATGCGAAATATCTTGCAACAAACGAAAATTTCTAAAATTTTTATTTAAAAACAAACCTAGCCATACATATTTTTCTATTGGCTATTTTTTGCAGAGTTAACAGTTAATTATTTATGGTGTCAGCAGCCAGTTGTGATTTTCAACTTTTGTGCAATTTTTTTATAGTAAAAAATACATTCATTTTTTTTAATTAGGGGTTCACAGCGTTACGAAAAATTTAGAAAGGGTACACAAAATTCATAAGTTTGAGAAACACTGGAATAAGGTATTTATTTTTTACATCGTTTTAAAGGAATGTAATTTAACAAGGAAAAATAGAATATTTTAGCGAAATTGATCGAATAGTTTCTAACCAATCAAATTTTAAGAATCCCATTTTTTTTAAAATTTGATTTCTCAGGAATCCGAACTCCGTATTCCAAATATATGAATTTTGATTTAGACCAACCTGCATAACAGGTTTCTTTTCTTCCCTTTAAAAAAAAAGAAAAAAAGACTTTTTAAAACTTATTAAGTAAACAAAATTAATAATTTTAAAAGTTGCTTTTAAGGAAAAAGAGAAATATAAATCATTGGAAGATTTGAGGAAAAAAGAGGGCTTTTTGTTTCTTTATGAAAATACATTATAAGAATGCGTATGCTTCATAATTAAATAAGTTCCAATTTTTCAATACATAAGATGTTTAGCTTATTGCTTTTTTACATGATTAAAATAAAGATATTTCTTAAATGAAAAACAATTATTGTGATTGTTACTTTATTGATAATTTTTTTTCGAGTTACTAAACTGTTGTAATGATTGGTTCTAAATTACATATTATAGCCTTACTATTATTTTGTCACCATTTTACTTTGATTATAAGAGATAAATATAATATATAAATGACGGACACTTTATGAACACTTTTAAAAGCAGTATAATAATTTTTTTCGAGTAATATGGTATGGAGTGATATAAATGTGATGTATGTGATATTTATTGTAAAATACTTATAAAATTAAAAAAAAAAGTAATTATTTAATCTTTTATTTTTAAAGATGGAAATTGGTAATCTGAAATAAAAGAAAGGATATAGAAGAAAGTTTTGTGCCCGAGATGCTATGTTAGCATGATTTATAACTAGAAGAAAGTTCGATAAATAGTAAATAAATGTAATTTAAAAATACAAAACAAATATGTCTTTATAAACTAAAAAACTTATTATTTTTTTCAAATTCGTAAGTAGAAGGATTATTGAAACTTAATTTAAAGCATTAAAATATAATAAAAATTTTGTGAGGTAATAATACTTTTGTGACTTAGAGTACAAAAAAAAAAAAAAAAAAANTGAACTTTTTTTTTAAAAAAAAAAAAAAAAGAAAGAAAGAAACGCCCACAATCGATAGTATGTTTCTTAATCTAACCATTCAATGAAAAGAAGGAAGAAAAAAAAAAAGAAAAAAAAAAGAAACACTTTTCCGAATGGTTAAACCCAAAATCTATCGATTAATGATTGGAAAGAAAAACATTTCTCGGTTAATGGAAACTATTCGCTGATCGTAATGAATGTTACATAATAAACTGGGGATCAGACTTGTTCCATACATTTGGCCCTTCTCTTTACAATTGCATAGGAAACTACTACGAAAAATTTTCAATTTCTTAATATTTTCTGCATCTAATTGTTAAAAATATTTTAAAAATTTTCACGACGCCTTCTTTCAGACAGAAATTAACGTATCAAGACAGAAATTAACGTACTTATTTCTTCCTATCACTCTCCACACGCAAAACGTTAAAGCATGCGAAATGTTGCCATAGCTAGATTAGACTTAATTTTTATGTGCTTACCTATGAAAACTAATTTAATAATGCATGGAATTAAATAATACATAGAAAACTAGTGATATCTAAAGTAATATAAGGAAATAGATTTTTTCATGCAAGTCATTCCTGCCTCAATGCCAAGTAAGTAGAAACCGCTTTTTAATCTGGAATAGAAAACTTCCTATTTGGACTGAAAAGTTACGATGTTATGTATAGTTATTGCTGACGAAAGACACTCATTTAAAGGGAAAAAGTATGAATTAAAAAAATTCATGATTGAAATGAAATTAGTTAGAATTATTAATTATCTAATTCATGATAGAAATCACATTATTTGAGCAATAATTTTTTCAGTTATCGGTTGCGAAGGTATCAGAAATAGATTTGGACCAATCAGTTCTAATTAAGCAACTGGCTTATAGCTCACATTGCTAGTTTTGTAAAAATTGAAAATGAGCTTGACTGTAACCACTATTATTATTATAAATCCAATTTCTAGACAAATGGCATCAAAACAAAGTACTGACGATAAACGTGTGAGTGTAAATCGCTAGAAGTTGTAACTAATAATCTCCGTAGGATTTCAATAGTTATATTTTTGAATTTTAATTAAATTTAAAATGGGTAAAGCAAGTGGTGTTAGCAGAAGGCGAAAGAAGAGGTATAACTATAAACGGAATGTGAAGAGATTACACCAAAAGCTTATTACGATGCCGAAAGTAAAATGGTATGACAAGTTTTTTTATTATTAATTTTTTTAAAATTATAATTATTTGCAATTTTATTAATAAGAGTCTATTTAACATAACTTATTAGGGAAAAAGTTTATCCTGAACTTCTGTGTGCGATGTTATATATATATAAAAAAGGTAATATCAAACTTAACAGAGATTGATCTTACACTTAAACGATGAAAAAGAAAATTCTTTAATTATTTACTATTTAAAGAACCAAAACTATCGATAATGAGGTCATAATATTAATACTTTCTAAACTCATTTTATGTACCTAATACAGAGAGATTCATAACACCAAGAGCAGTTCTTAGAGTTTCAACAATAATTTTGTAAAAATATCAGCAAGTTGTTCATTGCCAGAAATATGTTCCAGACAGCATTAAAAATTTAAAACACTATCACGTAGAAAGTTTACCTTGCAACTATGTATTTGGTTCTTTGTTGATATTCAAGATTTTTAGTCAAGCGAACAACACTTGCATTGTCTATTTTTAATGAAATGATTTCTTTTAGTGAGGCTATGTCTTCAAATAGTTATTTAAGTCACATCATGTCCTTGATAGCCTCACTAAAGGCAGCATACTCTGTGTCTCCCTGTGACAGAATTTTTTCGAGCTATCTGCAACAGAACTCTCTATCACAAATATCTTTCTACAAGATACTTTTAATAATAACAAACATATATGTTACTAATTTAAAATAACTAAAGCGCTGTGTTTACAAGAAAAAACTAGATAACTTTTTAAAACTGAACATGTAATAATTTTTTCACTCTTATATTACGAGTGATATTCTCGTATTTGTGGAGATTTCCGTATCGTGATCTGTGGCAGAAAAATCGCCAAGTTTTGGAAACTTCAGGGCTGTGGCCTGTGGGAAACTAAAAAAAGAAATAAAACATCACAGAAAGTGACCATCTCGTAAGGTATAACTCGTAGCCACCCATAGGCAAACATCTACATGTTTTTTTTTTTTAAAAATTCGCTAGTTTCAAATCTATTTGGTATCTTGGCAATTGTAGTTGGCGAGACAGCTCACAATACGGAAATATCCCCTCACATTACAGGGGGGGGGGAGACGCACAGATTATTTCCTTTGCATTTTGTAAATAATGATCACATTATAAAATTATTAAAATTAGTGAAATCGTTAGTAGTAATTGCTAAAAAAAAAAGATCAACAACGAAATCACACAAATCAAACTTCTCAAATACGTGTTTTGTTTTGAGATTAGGTTGTTGTAATAAATAATATGGTATGAAAAATATCAAATTTTAAAACTATAGAGAAATCAATAGTAATAACTGCCTATAATTCGATTGAACTATTGCCTTAAAAAGTAAATACTCAAATACACGATTTGAATTTTCCATATTGTTTGTAAAATGTCGGGATATTTAAAAACTATGGGAAAATCAATGTCAATAACTGCCAAAAATACAATTGAAACAATACATCTATTTACGATGCTATCAGTGTAAATTGAGCTCATCAAAAATTTATCTGAATACATTATTCAAATACCTATATATAAATTTCTGTAGAAAAGAAGAAATTTTTTGCTCTTACTTTTCAAAAGAAAAGTCTTTCTGCAAGAACTTTGTAATGTTGTGCAACAATGTTGCTGCGATACTGCCACAGGGTTGCAGTGTATAAGGGATATTGCAACAAAACTCTGCCCTGATTTTTTTAAAAATTATTCTTTAAATCTTCGTTTATATACACCTGTCCACCATTACTTAAAACTGCATTGAATGCATTTTATGTTAAATTCTGAAAAACTGAACAAAATTTTTCAAACTTCACAACAGTTCCTAACTTATACTTCAGAAAATAAAATTTTCTGTGTTTAGAGAAATCATCTGTGAAACATATATAATAGCGAAAACTGTCTTGTTCCCTAGGCCGAAATGAATAATCTCACTAATATCTTTTGCATGCTATTGAGGATTCTTCCGGAATGACAACCTATGTTGTTTTCCTGATGTGCAGGCTTTACGAAAAGCATTATCCATTTCTCTCTTGTTGGATTGTAGTACCTTTTTAACAAGCTGTTTATTTAAATTTCCAGGCTTTGCATGCCCCAGTTAACGGGAAACTGTTTTACTTAACTCTACTCTACTCTAACTGTTTAACTTTACTCTTATAAGTGAAAAACACAATTTTGTATAGGAACTTGTATAGTTTTTTATACCTTTAGCCAAATTTTTTTGTGTAAAAATTTCTGCCTCTTAGTTACTGTTTCACATAACGGCCAACTCTTCTGAATTTACGGCCCGTTTCTCACGGTGAGACTCAAATCTTCCACATTTTGTATTCTGTTCGTTAAACATTTTCTTCCCTTGGAGGAGTTCTCCTGAAAGCCGCACTATACCGGTTATGTGATTTTTTGGCCAATAAGAATATGCGGACATTATTCGGAAACTGTATTATGTTAAAACTAAGTTGAATGCTTCTCTCTTACCAAAAATTTACTGCTTTTTAAAATGAAAACAATATTTTACTCTAAATTGTATTATTTTTCTAGTAAACAATTGCAAGAAGCCTGGGATGGAAAGAAAAGCTATTATAAAAATATGGAAGAATTTGGGCTTTCTGAAGATCCCAATAAAACAATTGGTACAAAGGTAATTGCTTCAAAATTTCTATTAATTTATGTGTCCATTTTAGTTTTCTATTAGTTAATTTATTCAATTCTATGAAATTCGATGTAATTTTTAATGATGGAGTGTCCAATATTGTGAGGGTATCCATAGAGATATTTTTATCTAGCTTGTTAAGGTTTTTTAATCCCGCTTGTAGCGAGTGTAATGTTCTGAAAAAGGTAATGTAGTGCACTCCGTAGCACATTTACGGCGACACGGCAACATTGTCACTGAATGTTACAGAGTTTTAGCAGAAAGATTTTTCATTTGAGAAGGGAAAATTTTTGGTTTTCCTTTCTGCATAATTTTTCGAAAAAGATTTTTTTTTTCTGCAGAATTTTTTTCAAAGATGTCTTTCTTGTGCATCAGAGAGGAAAGAAATAATCATGATTTTTTTAATTCTCATTTGAGATTTAAACTAAAAAAAGGCATCAGTAATGATTGGCTTTAGCTAGAATTTCAAATTAATAATCGGGGGTCTTTTCAAGCCATATTTACTACCGTTTAGTGATACCTTCACAAATTCGACCTTTTGCACAAAATACTTTTTCTTAAAATTTTATTTTTGTGTCTTGTAAGAAACGATGAATCCATATTTTTAATTATAATTTTTACTTTTCACAAATTATGTCTAAATTTTCACAAAATACGTACCTCTCAGAAAAACCTAAACAGACCCCTGATAATTTAAAATTCAGAAATCGCGAAAGTTAACAAGTTTATTTAGAAAAAAATATTCTTTCTTTCATTTTTTTTTCTTTAAAGGACACCAAATTTTACATACACTTATTTGAGTACCTTTTTTTAAAGAGTCTTATTTGAGGGATTCGTGATCTTCATTTTGTTACTGCATGGGTCTTAGGATTTTTCATTTATATACCAATTTTAATTTATTATTGTTTAAGATTTTTAATATATTATCGTTTAATATATTTACGAATTTTAATTTATTATCGTTTAATTTGTTTACGATTTGTAATTTATCGTTTAATTTATTTACAAATTTTAATTTGTGTAATTATATTTGAAAAATTCGAAAGAGGAAATAATTGGTGCATTTTTCCGCCTACAAAATGTGAGAATATTTGCCTATAATATTAGAATTAAAAATATTACTTTTACAATTAAAATTTTTTTATACATTTTCATTCTATACTTTTTTTTTGTAAAACACAAAGTTTCTGTTACTTTAATTTAGTAATTGTTATAATTAAAAGTATCTTAAATCATAATATATATATTAGTGCTAGGGAAGTTTTTCGCAGAAAGCCCAAAGGAATTCTGCCACAAGGGTAGTGCAGTGAACTAAACTGCATTTGTTTCTTTGGACTCAATGTCTTCACAAGAGATGTACTGTATATTCAATTACAGCTCATTAATTGATATTTTCTGCCCTTTTTTTAACGCAAATCAAATTATTTTGTATTGACTATTAGACTAGGCAAAATAATATCCTTTTTTTTTTAAAAATCACAAGTAAAATGTAGTAACTGGTTCATCTTAAACACATAAGTGAGGTTAAAAACTGTACATATTGGTATACGAATGAAGCTGGGCTGGATATTTATTAAATGTCCTCTCAGTGTGGTCTTAAGCATATTGGGCAGACTGCACATATGCTTCATCTTTGATTTACAAAACATGAAGCATCTGTTCAAAATCAGGATAATAAACCAGGGGTCTGTCTAGGTTTTTCTGAGAGGTACCTATTTTGTGAAAATTTAGACAGAATTTGTGAAAAAATTAAAAATTATATTAAAAAATCAACACAAAAATATGGATTTATCGTTTCTTAAGGGATACAAAAATAAAAGTTTAAGAAAAAGTATTCTGTGAAACTACCGTTTTCCCTAGAGTTGAATTTGTGAAACTACCATTTTTCCTAAAGTTGAATTTGAGAAACTACCATTTTTCCTAAAGTTGAATTTGTGAAGGTACCGCTAAACGGTAGTAAATTCGGCCTGGACAGACCCCTGTAAACTATCTATCATTGCTCCATAGTTGGAATTCTAATCACTCTATAGTTCTGATAAAATCATTCAACACCGCTTCTCAATTACTGATCTTGACTTCTGGGGATCATTCCATATTTTGAGACGTTCTGTAATTTTGTCAATAATTTTTCTAGTGCCCTATTTTTCCCCTAATGCTTGCAAATCTATTTTAATTTAATTTCTACATCTTTCACACCTAAGATTCTAACCTTACCCAAAAAACTAAACCATTGCTTTTCCTCAAGATTCAGCTTTATTTATGAAAATTCTAATTTTTTACTAAAAATTTAGAATTTTCTTTAAATGTTATGCTTTTTTTCAAAAATTTAGATAAGATTGGGGATTAAGAAGTTAGTTTTAAAAATAAATTTTTAAATTAATAGATTATTAATTCCGATTTTCAAGGATAGACAATAAGTTTCTGTGTTTTTTTCTCCCTTCTGACGCTAATTCTTCAATCAGTTGTACAGTTTCTGTAAGGTGTGCATTATTTGCAGTTACTTCAAAAGGGTACTGACCTTTGACTTCTGCCTGACATTTTGTTCTCTGTAACTTTTAAGAATATTGCATGCGGAAAAGAACAACTCTGCAATTTTAGCTGCTGTAAAAACTATAATGATTTTTAATTGTGAATTTCTTTAGTCTATTATTTTACAAGCGCTAATTTATTATATTTGAAACATACCGGTACATCCTAAATTCTTCCTCGAGGTATCATTCATTGCAGACGATTAATATGGTAAATTAATGAATACGTGTTAAAATATTGAATTATGACAAGAAAATGTAAGAAAAAGTTATGGATGTGAAAATTAGTAAAATTTTAATGGAAAAAAAAATTTGTTTATGCAAGGATGAATAAATTTATTTATTTAAAATATTTGGAAGCCTTCTTTTAAACCTTCTTTTTTTCTTATCTTTAACAATAAACTTCAATATTGGAGACTGGTTGCTGTCCATTTTCTGTAAGTTTTCATGAGTATAGAAAAATTCTCATTATTTCAATGGCTTTCGGAGCCAACTGCAAGTGTTTGGACCGGTTGTGGATCCGTTTTGTTGTCTTTTCAGTATCACTTTGAACTTCTTCAGCAACCATTTCATTAAACCATAAGTTTCCACATTTTAATCAACCTTTTCCGCAAACTGTTGCAAAATCTCATTTTTTTCATTAACATCCATTAGATACAGCTTTTTATCGTAGTGAAGTAGCAACAATATTTTTTTTTAAATGTCAGTAGAATTTCTAGACCAGTGATTTCCAACTGACGGCCCGTGGGCCCCATCCTGCCCTTGAAGCCTTTTTTTGTGGCCCTCGAACCTAAATATATTAGTTGCCCTTTTTTTGCGGACAATTTTCGAGGAAAATCTTTATGGGTTTTAAATACTTTTACATTTTATGTCTTTACAATTTGATATCCATTGCACATTAATTGTTGAATACATAGGAGCACATTAAAGTTATTGTAGCCAGAATTTTTTACCATACAATTAAATATTTTTAAAAATCTACTTATTTTAATTTGTAATTCAATACTTTTGTTTTGTATAACTTGATAAAAATCTGACAGTAATATTTAATGTTTCTTCAAACATAAAAGAGTGCCATATAAAATTTTGATAAAGTTGCGGCCCACCATTCGACTGGTGTTTTTAATGGCGGCCCCGACCTCATGTAAGTTGGAAACCCCTGCTCTAGACGATTCATGCAGTAATCTGCTGGTTTCAAAAACTAGTGTTATCATTATGAACATACCATTTTCAATGGGACCGCTAAAACAAGATTCATGTGAGAAAACGAAAGATATGGGAATAATCTCATTGAAGTTTGACTGTACATATAAATGTATGCTAAAGCATATAAATATATAACTAAGAATAATTCTATTCAAGTCAGTTATAGTTTTGAAAAAAATGAAACATTTTTCACTCTATTATTTATTTTTATTGTTTCATTTTATTTAAGAGGTTTCATATTTTAAAATAGACTCATTAAATTAAAAAAAAATGTAATAATTATTTCAATCAAAATAAGATCTTTTGTTCAATGTCCCTATTTTAGGTTTATGTTCTAAATTCCTGATTTTTGTATGTATTAACAACATCCCTTTATCAATATAAATTTGACATTATGATTATTTTTTTCAAGAGTAAAATTTGCATTAGATAGTCATTTAAAATGCCGCAAAGCCTTTCACTGTATCAACAGAATAATCAGGGTGCGTAGCGTTTTTAAAAAGCGCTTATTTTTGATTTGCCTTTTTTAAAAGCTCTTAAAAGTACTTTTTTTATTTGGAGTTTGTAAAAAGTGCTTCATTTTCTATCTTTTAAAAACAGATTTTTTCCTTTGCCGTGTCGATTGTCGTTCTAAATTACAATCAAACATGATTTTCACAATATTTTTTTGAATTTTATTGATTTTATGCTCATAAATTAAGAACTTTAAACGATAGATATTTTTTTTTTTATTACTGCAGAGATCCTAATTATGAATTTTTTTTGTTTTTGGAAAGTGATAAAAAATATTTTTTGAGTGCTTAAAAAGTGCTTGTTTTTTGTTGAAAAATCTGGCTGCGCACCCTGATGAAGAAATGCAAAATTTATATGAAGCATCATTACATTCTACATATTTGTTTACCAAAATTGTAAATTAAACTATTCTGATTATGTGTTTCTTTTAGGTAAAGAGGAAGGCCAAAAAAATGGAGGTCGTTAATGGTAATTTTCTTGATACTTTTATAGTTAAACTGTTATTGTTAATAAATACTTACCAGTTAAGATTCCTAATGTCAAAGAATTTTTTTTTTTTTTTGTGAATTAAATTCAAATGTGCTACTCTTCTACTGTGTTCTTAACCTCCAAGGATCTTAGCAAAAATGTAAATTTTTTTTTTACAAAAACCATCAGATTTTTTTCATTAACATCAGATTTTTTTTTTTTACATTTAACAACCAAAGCATCTTATAAACTGTATTTGTGCTTATATTTACAAACAATATCATAGCTAAAATATTTAATATTTATTTCTAAAACAGTCTTAGTTAGTGAAATCTAATAATTGAATAAATAATATAATGGTTTTTTCAAGGTCAACCTGCTAATAAATGTTAAAGGTTAGGAGACAATTTCTCAATTTGATATCCAATAAAAATATATTAGTTTAGTTAAGAAAACATAAAGAAAGAAAAAATTAAGTTACTCTGTTTAGGAAAAGTCTTCCTTCATTATTGACACTAACTACATATTAATTTTACTAATTGAATATAATAATTAAGAATATTTGAAATAAAATTTTTTTTAAAAGAAAAATAAAGTGGCTTAAATGCCAATCCTGATAGTTAAGGAGTGTAAAATTACAAAAACTTGATATGTTATACTAGGAGACCAAATTGTACAATAGTGATTGTGCATGATGTAGGACTTTTAAATAATATTCAAAAGAAAAAGATTGAGTAACAAAATAAAAAAAAATAATAAGGGAGAATCTGGTTTCATTTACTTACTAATTTTATAAATTGAAACCTAAATCTTGCATGAGGATTATTTGTTTCAAAAATTTAATCTCCAAATTCTTTTAAAGAGTTAACCAGAGTGTTTACGATTTTTAAAAAAAATACATAATTGTATTAAAAAAGAGTGATACTTTTCCTTAAATAGTTATGTTTATTAAGTTTAATTTGCAATTATTGTTTTAAATGTGATTTGGAAAACATGTTTTTGGAGTTTTATGTTATCAATCACCTTTTTTTTTCCCTTCCCAAAACTGCAGTGGCATTTCTGTAATCTTAATCTTTTGTAATCTAAATCTTAAATTCATTTATTTTTTTTAAATTTAGTTTTGTAGTTTATTTGTCTTAAACAATGTACGGCTATTAATTTCCAAGACTGATCTAATATAATAATTCATAAAAATATTACATTCAAAGAAATTTCCCACTGCCGTAATGTTCTAGTCTGTAATAGTTTTAAAAACAATTTTTGATTGTAATGTCAGAGTTTTCAGAAAAGGTGAAAATCTGGCTAGAAATTAGTACAGAAATATTAAAACTTAAAAATTTAATATATTGGAATGAGGGTTATGAATGTAATGATTAAGAAAATCCAATTGACAAACAAGAGTATTCTGAAAAAGGATTTTTAAAGTTGTTTGATTTTATTCCATTATGCAATTTTAACTTCAAATTTACATTTCTTTATTCTGATTTTAGATTTAGAAGCTGAAGCAAATGCTCCCCGACCAAAAACAATGAAACTCCCTACAGAACCTATGAAATTTTGTGTATATATGATTGAAAAATATGGTGATGATTATGGGGTAAGTTTAAAATTATCATTTTAGTCAAGGCTATAGCAGCACAAATATAAAAGTGTTGTTAATGCAGGTTCTTTTTAGTTCCATGTTGTATTGTTAGAAGTGTATATTATTAACAGTATGTTGTGAAAAAATTGTAAAAAGATGCATAGCATTCAAAATAAAAAATTAAAAAATAGAAGAGAATATAAAAAATTATCATTAAAAAACTATTTTCGTGAGGTTTCCATTAACACATTCGCTGCCGCTAAAAATGATATTTCCTTCCTCAGAAGCCGTATTACAAAACAGGGTTTCAATGGTTTAAGTGTTCCTTATATTTTACTAGGAAGACCAGAAAAACGAAGAAACATATTATTTTCCTGTTTAAAGAGTGTTTGTTCCCCGACGCTCTGGAGCGTCAGTGGCAGACAGACTCAAACTATCTTCGTGAGTGCCACTGACGCTCCAGCGCGCCTGATCAATATTCTCAGAAATTACTGGCATATTGCATAAAATAGCAGCTTAAAAGAAATAAAATTAAATACCATTCAAGTATATGTAGTACCATTTATGAAACAACGCTGGAAATGTTTACAAGTAATAAGCACAATATACAGATATTGGCAGTCACACACATAAAAAAATTCAAACAAAAGTTTTGAATACCAACCACAAAAAATAAAAAAATAATGCTTCACTAACGTGCTGAAACAACCTCTCCGTTCAACTCCCAAAGCCACACCATACACAGAGCATATAACTCATAATAGATGCGCTAGCATGTTGTTAGTATACCAGGAGATGCAGCTCTGACGCGCCAGTGGCAGCGAGCGTGTTAACCTCGAAAATTAGTTAAATACAACAATGCCAAATAGTTGAGTTTTTTTGTGACTTTGGAGTGTGACATAATTATGTTTTAAATACAATTATTTTATAACCGTCCTTGAAATGCTGGCCCAATTTTGGGTTTACCACTACTAATGTTCAACTTCGCAGCTTTGTAATTTTGAACCCAATTCTGAATACAAGGGAACTCTTGGACCAAGTAGTAGGCGAAATTTGCCTTGGTGGAGGACTTTTTGAGGGAACTAACCGGCATTTGCGTTACATGAGGAAAGCGGTTAGACTGACGACAAGGAGACTATAAGCCATGATCCGTCTACCCCTTAGGATGTTTTATGTCAGCACTGTGGTCAGTGCAAGCCGGGTGCAGAGCCAGCCATCACTGGGATTCAAACCAAGTTGACCGTATTGGAAAGCGAAGGCTCTAACCTCTGAGCTATCACAGCTCAAAATACAATTATTGACTAAATTTGGATTGCTTATTTTACAACGGGGAGGGCTTATGTGGCAATGACTTCAGTCAATTTATTGTTGCGTCATCTTTACTTCTGTTCCTGTTCGTATATTTTTGCCTTGCCAATAGATGAATAAGCGTTAGAATCAGGACCAGCCTGAGGTGTAAGCTTGGTAAGCGACTGCAAAGAGCCTAATAAACCATGTAGGATTCTTTGTTTTATCTCTTTTTATCAATGTCAGGGACATCCTGCTGTGTGATAATTTGTGATCTGCAAATACAGATGGCTATTGAGTTACCTTTAATGTTTCTTGAAGAAAACCCTTTTAAGGCGGCAAAATTCTGAACTACTTTAAAAAAAAAAAATTGCAGAAATCTGCTTTTTTAAAAAATTAAGTGATTAGATTGATATTTTAGTTAGTATTCAAATAAAACAGTAAGAAAGCAAAACTAAATATTTTAAAGCGTTAAATATTTACTTCAGTTTTAAACATTATATATCGGAAAGCAATGTTGTTTATGTTTCATCAAATTACAAAATATATTTTAATAAGTTTTTGTTTATATCAAAGATGTAAATATCTAGGTTATCAGAAACCTCTTGTTATCAAGCCTGCAAAATTTAAAAGCAATATTTTGGAGCAAATATCAAGAGCAGACATTTTTAAAATGTCAGTTCTTAGAAAATATGGAAATCTGATTGAGTGAGGTCAGGCAATTATAATAGGTGGCTGAAGTACCTTTATTCGTTGAATTTTATATGATAATTCAAGACTGCGCTGTGCAAAACAATCCCTGAAAAAATTACAAATAAGCAAGGGAGTTCTAACGCCTACCATTGCACCATCAGATTACCATATATTGTGATCACTACAAAATTTTCTGTGTGTCAAAAAGTTAGCGAATATGGATGATATTCAAAATGCTTTTTTTCAGATATTTTACTAAAAAAACAATTAGTTTTTATTATTCTGGCATTTTAATTTTCTACTCTAGATGGCGTGGATAATGCATAGCATAATTAATTATTAAAACTAGTTAACTCTATTTAAATTTAATGTAAGGAAAACGTCATTTTCCACACTATTTTTTTAGTCTGTAAAAGTTATATAAAATTAAACAACTAATTGATTAAAAACTTCATTTGCTTTAAAAAATTGGAAATAACAGTCCACATGCTTTGTACATCCAGAAAATGTGGGCATATTTTTAAGCATTCGAGAAGTGTAGATTTAATTAAAAAAATTTGTTAATCAGTAATATCAGTTCAGTTTCTTGGGATTATTTAATTAACAATGAAAATTATTTCTCTCAAGTTTGTTGGAAGAGTATAACAATTATTTCATTCCATCTTAGCTTACCTTCTAAAAATTATTTATACTTAATGATTAATTTTTTGAGAGTAATGCATTTATTTCATGTTCAGAATGTAAACAAAATAAGGGTTCGAAAGGGTGATCTCAAATATGCTAATTGATTAGTGCAGATATTTTAAGTTACGAAATCAGACACAAAAGCACATTTTCTCTGGATCAACATACCTTTTTTTCGAGGGGGTCAGAAATCCGAATCTGGGAAATTATATTCCCAGTAGTTTGGTCCTCTTAATATTAATCTTATTCTTTGCATCGCTAGAATTTTTTAAGATAATTGAAAAATGTTTGCATGCACAGATAATTCTACTGAAAACAAAACTTAATATTTATTATTTGATTTTAGTCTAAAAAATTTTAGAATTGTAGGGTATAAATTTTTTTCCGTATCTTTAAAAATGCAATTTTGTAAGGTAAAATACAAAATGGGAGCAAGATTTTGTGACTGATTTAGTAACTTAAAATATCTACTTTATTAATTAGCATATTTGAAAACACCCCTTTGAACCACAAGTTTCTGCATTCTGTATATATTTATCACTATAATTATGTAGAACTGAAAGTACATTATATAAGTAGTTACTACTGCATTTTTGTACTCTTTTCATATTTATTATTATCCTTAATGGTAGGGGGTGATGATATTTCAGTTATACCAAACTATTTCATTTACCATAGCATTATTTAAGTATGTTCAGCTCTTTTCCCAGCTATTAAAACTAATAAATATAGTTAGTCTAATATAGCTCACACAAGAGCACAGTAATTGTTGTTTCCTTGTAATATATTGCTATAACATGTACAGGGAATTTTTTTTCCAGATTTGAGTGGCAACCGTGCAAACATATTCAAATTACTTATTTCTCTAAAAATAACGTTTATTCTTAAAAGTTTTTAAAAAGTTTCTTCACTCCCAGATTGAAAATAATCATGTGTCTCTAAAGAGGCTGTGAAGTTGGAGGAACTTTTAAGGTAGCTTCATCTTTGTCATGCTTGGTTATTCGTTGCAAGCGCAATTACACTGTCCATCAGATTCAGCATTCCGATCTACTCGGCTTATGTCTTTTTCTGGTACTTGGTTATTTATTGACATATTGTTGCAGCATCCTTCGCTTGCATTATCTGCATCTATTGTTGCTGATTATAGTTTCGAAATATTTGCACTCTTTCTCGGCAACATTAACCTGAGAGACTGTAATGAGGACACACATGCCTGTTAAATTCTATCCTCTACATGTCAGTTTTGCAATGCTGTAACTCTAAGCAAGGTGNAGAAAGCAATGTTGTTTATGTTTCATCAAATTACAAAATATATTTTAATAAGTTTTTGTTTATATCAAAAATTCAAATATCTAGGTTATCAGAAACCTTTTGTTATCAAGCCTGCAAAATTTAAAAGCCATGTTTATGAACATCAATTGTAGTTTTGAGCAAATATCAAGAGCAGACATTTTTAAAATGTCAGTTATTAGAAAATATGGAAATCTGATTGAATGAGGTCAGGCAATTATTATAGGTGGCTGAAGTACCTTCATTCGTTGAATTTATATGATAATTCCTGAAAAAATTACAAATAAGCAAGGGAGTGCTATCGCCTACCATATCTGCCTGACAGATTACCATATATTGGGATCACTACAAAAAGTTTGCGAATATGGATGATATTCAAAATGCTTTTTTTCAGATATTTTACTTAAGAAACAATTGGTTTTTATTATTCTGGCTTTTAAATTTTCTACTCTAGATGGCGTGGATAATGCATAGCATAATTAATTATTAAAACCAAACTCTTATTTAAATTTAATGTAAGGAAAACGTCATTTTCCACACTATTTTATTTTACTATTTTTTTAGTCTGTAAAAGTTATATAAAATTAAACAACTAATTGATTAAAAACTTCATTTGCTTTAAATAATTGGAAATAACAGTCCACATGTTTTGTACATCCAGAAAATGTGGGCATATTTTTGTTAATCAGTATTATCAGTTCAGTTTCTTGGGATTATTTAATTAACAATGAAATTAATTTCTTTCAATTTCTATAAAGTTTGTTGGAAGAGTAAAACAATTATTTCATTCCATCTTAGCTTTCCTTCTAAAAATTATTTATGATTAATTTTTGAGAGTAATGCATTTATTTCATGTTCAGAATGTAAACAAAATAAGGGTTCGAGAGGGTGATCTCAAGTATGCTAATTGATTAGTGCAGATATTTTAAGTTACGAAATCAGACACAAAAGCACATTTTCTCTAGATTAACATACCTTTTTTTCGAGGGGGTCAGAAATCCGAATCTGGGAAATTATATTCCCCGTAGTTTGGTCCTCTTAATGTTAATCTTATTCCTTGCATACTTCGTTGCATCTCTAGAATTTTTTAAAAATTGTAGGGTATAAAGTTTTTCCATATCTTTAAAAATGCAATTTTGTAAGGTAAAATACAAAATGGGAGCAAGATTTTTTGACTGATTTAGTAACTTAAAATATCTACATTTATTAATTAGCATATTTGAGATCACCCCTTTGAACCACAAGTTTCTGCATTCTGTACATATTTATCTCTATAATTATGTAAAACTGAAAGTACATTATATAAGAAGTTAGTACTGCATTTTTGTACTCTTTCATATTTATTATTATCCTTAATGGTAGGGGGTGCCAAAAATGTTTTTGCACACACTGGCTTAAAAATAGTACATCTATACATTTTATTGCATTATATTATGCATACTTAGCTTAAAATAAGGTTCAAAATTTAATGAATTTAAATAGATTTTTTTATTTTATTAAAAAAAGCAAACAAGGGAACTAGAGGTGCTTACCAAACATATTCAAATTACTTACAAGGGGTGATCAAATGAAAAGGTACGAAACAACACGGTGGGTACAAATGTAGACTTTATTCAAAATATACACCATAGGCCTGTGCACAGCAATCCCACTGATGAACAAGCCGCAGGATTCCTTGTTCCTGGGGTCTTGACGAGACCCAGTCCTTCACAGCGTCCTTGAGTATGTCGTCCGAATTGAAGAGCTTCCCTTTCAGGTGTTACTTCAGTGGACCAAACACATGGAAATCGCAGGGCGACTAGTCCGGATTGTAGGGCGGATGGTCCAACGTCTCCCACTTATACTTGGCCAGTTCCATATGTGTGAGTCTAGAGACGCGCGTTATCGTGGAGCAGAGCCACACCCTACGTGAGCAGCCCGGTCTTTTGTTCTTGATGGACCTGCGTAGGCGTCAAAGTGTCTCACAGTACACATTGGAGGTAATGGTTTTTCTGTGCTCAAGGAAATCGGATCCTCAATTGTCGAATTTTGCAATGCGAACGACATCCGGTCCTCCTACGGACTGCCACATCATTTGGACGCCGCTTTTGATAAGAGCCTCTGCTCATGCGGGCACCAGCGCATGCTCCGATCCCAGTCAGAGACTCCAATCGCATCCCGACATGTCTCTCTACGTTCTCCCATACCGGAATATGCAAATATTTAATTGTTAAGTTTTTACGTCGTTTCGTACCTTTTCATTTGATCACCCCTTGTATTTCTCTAAAAATAATTTGCAATTTACGTTTATTCTTAGGAGTTTTTAAAAAGTTTCCTCACTCCCAGATTAAAAATAATCATGTGTCTCTAGAGGCTGTGAAGTTGGAGGAACTTTTAAGGTAGCTTCATCTTTGTCACCCTTGGTTATTTCCCGATTTCCTGCAATTCGTTGCAAGCGCTATTACCCTGTCCATCAGATTCGGCATTCCGATCTACTCGGCTTATGTCTTTTTCTGACTCCTCACTATTAGATTCTTCTGGTACTTGGTTATTTATTGACCTTCTGCATTGACAATTAGAATTACTACCTTCGCTTGCATTATCTGCATCTATTGTTGCTGATTATAGTTTCAAAATATTTGCACTCTTTCTCGGCAACATTAACCTGAGAGACTGCAATGAGGACACACATGCCTGTTAAATTCTATCCTCTACATGTTAGTTTTGCAATGCTGTAACTCTAAGCAAGGTGCATAATTAAAGGTTTAAAATTATCCATAATCCTGTTGAAGTATGCCTTAGTCATGGGCGTGAATGTCTTCACAACTTCATTCAATCTGTTCAGGAGTTGGCACAACCATAGGAATTCTTCGTTAACATGTCGTCGTGATTTTGAGTTTAAGCATGTACTGTAAATGTTCTTTTATTACTTAGTTTATTTTATTTAAATGTTATTTAATACTTACAAGATTAAAAACTTCACTGCCTTTATTTTCAAATGAATTTTTCTTTTCAGGCTATGGCCAGGGATACAAAAAACTATTATCAAGCCACACCTGCTCAGATAAAGAAAAAGATAAATAAGTTTAAAAGTGTTCCTTCTCAGTGGAATGGGTATTTAAGAGCCAAAGGACTCATAGAATCTGGACTTAAACAAGATGAATATCAAATTGATATCGGTGATATTATGCAAGAAACGACAGTTACAGATATGGAACAATAATAAATTTTTTTAATTAACATCAAGTGTCCGAAAATTTCTTTCTAGCTAAATTCTATATCTACAGGTATCTGTAAAGACCATGCACTTAATATGGAATTGAATCCTTATTAATAATGAAAAGGAATTTACATTGGGGATGCAAATTATTATTTCATCAAGTAGAGAACAAAATCGATACATCTGCCAAATCATAGTAGAAGGAGTTGAAAACCTCCAATTTAATCTGTTTTGATGTTATCAGTTGCCTTCATCTACTTTAAATGCTATCTGATTTAGATAGCACTTTATTCATTTGCAAATTTAGATAAATAATTATTGCCATGTGTATGTTAAGTGAACTGTTTCATTTTTACTATACATTTGTTAAAAGGAACAAAAAAAAATAATGCAGCTGCAGTAAGCAATGAAAAATTTAACTTCCTTGTTTGAAATTCAAAATAATATCCTTGATTCACTGAAAACTAAGCGAAGAGTGATAAACACAAGCATATATTTTTCATATCTAATATACACCACCTTACAGTGCATGTGGTCTGTTAGATTCGCAAGACATTGCATAAAAATGTCTAATAACGAAATAATAACATACCAATTATATATATTAACCAATTATATTTATGGAAATTATTTTAAATTACAAAAGTGCAATTCGCTTAATAAAATAAAAAGTTTAAAACTAATTCTTACTCAGTTGAAACTGGTAATACAACCAATTTTGTTAATAGATCTACTACTATTCCATTTTTGGTTCTCACAAGATAAATTCTAGCATTATTATCTTTTCCATAAAACAATTTTTTAATTTTTCCCAACAGCCAATTGTTAATTGGATAATCTTCCTTAACTATTACAACATCACACTGTTTATGGAAAAACCATTTATTCTTCTGCTGCAAATAATTAAGAGAGTCTTAATACTACCTTTGCCAGACACATTGGACAATTTTAGTTATATGATAGATTAAGTTGGGACAAAATTGGTCTTCCAGTTAAATGTCCTGGGATTATTGCTTATTCTTTATTTGCCCCCAGACAAACATTCTCTTGCGGATGAAAGATGAAATTTAAACTATTTCACACCAGCCTCCCCCAGGCCTTCGAAAAGTGGAGATCTCTGACATAGAATGGAAATACTAAGATAATTTGTCAAAAAAGTTTTTGGTTTACTTGCTAGTTTAAGTTCATTGTTTGAACCTATAAAATTACAGTCATTGTCTGCAAAAATAGAAACTTTACCTTTTTTTGTGACATAAATAATTTTAAAACAGGTATGAAGGAATCAGATGCTAAATCTGAACTTATTTCAAAATTAACTGCACGAGTTAGAAAAAAATAAAAATTGCAAACGATTTGAAAATGAACTGCACAAGTTACAAAGCAAATAAAAATTGAAATGTAAATTTTTTACTATAGATATTTTTTTTTCTTTTAATTTGATAAGGGCTACATAAATCAATTCCTGTAATAGTAAATAGAAATGGAGTGCATCTTTTGGCAGGTTTAGTTTGTTCACCAGGAGTTAACACGTGGTATCCGAAGATACTGTTTCGCTATTTTTGGGAGAAGAATGTGAGCAATCCTGAACAAGGTTGTCATTTGCCGATCGTATGACAAAAAAATTTATTTTGCAATCTTTATGTGAATTTTTTTTAACATTAAATATTTCATAAATTTGATATTTCTCTCTTTTGAGTGCATAGTTTGTCCCTTTTGCTGCGAAAACAGCAGTTTTTAAATGTAAAATAAATTTAATTAGCTAGAGTAACGAAAGGTATAATGCAGATGAGAAAGCGAAGTAAATTACTGAAAAGGAATTCACTGCTTGAGTTCGGCACGCATTAAGAGTTGTCTCATTTTTAAGCACGGAGATGTTTTACCTCTCTGCGCCCGAGGAGGAGCCAAGTGCCGAACGAACTACAAATCCTCCATTTCTTGCTCTGAAAACTGAGGATAAGATTTCGCACAAATTACACAACTATGAATGATACTTCTCGCTAAGTTCTTGCTTCTATTGGGCCAAAACGACTGTCTAGTTCAATGTAAAAGTGTCCGAGTGCCTGTTCCTTTCATGAATATCCAGCAAAATTAAATTGGTGATAGTATGATTTCTAGGTCACCTTCTGAACCTACCTCCAACACGAATAACACTTATTTCAATAAAAAAACAGAGAAAAATTGGAATTGGTTACCTGTTGAAAGGTGCTTAACCTTTCACAATCCTGTTCCAAGTTTTCCTTTTGAATAAAAGAAATTAGCTTTAACTCACTGGTATACAATTCTTCTGTAGTCAATTCACCTGATTTGTTTTTCCAAATTACCTATAAACCCAAGGATGAAACTAAATACATTGGTTAATTTTCTATAATTATAGATAATTTTTTGAAATTAAGTAAACTCAGATTTAGAGCAAATAAGTTCTGAGTGTTAGTGTCTTTTACTTCACACAAAAACTCTGTTTCTGCTGAAGGATCATTTACCACATTGTTAGTTCAAAGGGAACAAGTTCTTTCAGAAAAGTAGATCCATGCCAAAGTTTGTGGTCAACAAGCTCATTTGGAAGCATTCTTCTGAATCTGCCGGGTTGCATTTTGATAAAACAGCTTGTTTCTGCTTGACTGTAGTATAATTCCAACAAACTTCTTTAGTTGATGCGGTGGTTCCAAATCCAAGCTAAAGAAATAGTTGAATCAGTGTACATTATTTCATCAAGGGGGATGTTCAAAGATTGCTTAACCTTCGTTTTAAGTTGATCAGCAAGAATATAATTCAACCATATAATTCAGAGACTTGATAGTAACTAATTTTACAGTAACTGATTTATTTGATAGCATACATTGAATATATATAACTGCTCTACATGCAGCTTCAGAAAGATATTAAAAAATTTTGCCTGTTGGGTTATCTACTAAAATCCAACGGGGGAAATTTTGATTCTTTCTATGTCCTTTAAAGAGACTAAATCACGCCAACTCTTTGTAAGGGCTTGGGGCAAAGGATCTTCCCAACCAAGTTTATGTAATTATAATGATTGCATAAAGAATTAAATTTGCTAATGATTGGTCCAAGAAGACCAACTGGGTCATACAATTTGGCAATTAAAAAAAGTATGGTTCTTTTGGTGTAACTAGAGTTCTGGTTACAGTCAATTTTGTAAACGAAAACAAGTCCTTTAAATGTAACCATTTCATCCTAAGAGTGTCACACTCAAAAATGAACAAAAAGTATTCTTTCAGTGAACTAGAAAAGTTCATTTATGAACTCATTCTACAACTGTGAACATATTTAACAATTGCTGAAGTTTCTGTGCAGATTCGATGTCTCTAGAAACAATCATCCATACACATCTTGAAAAACTACAACAGAGGCTAATGGATAATTCTTATTGCAATAAATATAACACAAGCAGTTCTATAAGTAACAGTCATTAATTTTAGAGTTATAAGTAATTTTATCTGTCCGTCCCTTTGTAAAGAAGTTATCAGAAGATGCATGAGGAACTATTCTAAAAGGAGTACTTTTAGAATCTGACTTTGAAATCTTATTTGAGGATGAGATGATGCATAAAAAACAATTCTAAGAGGAGTACTTTAAAAACACAGTTATGAAAAACACAGTCTACGCAATTTAGATTCGTCTATTCATAAAGCTCCTCCATTAGAGATTTTTTGTCTCATCTTTTATTTAAGCTATTTTTTCCCCGTTGTCTTTCGATTCATCTAAGTTAGGCAGTTCTTTCGCTGGCATCTGAACAGGGCCGGATTAACCTATAGGCACACTAGGCACGTGCCTAGGGTCTACGAAATTCAGGGGCCTACGAAAAACTTGGGAGAAAAAAATTTGTTGACAAAAATAATTTAGCTTTAAAAACAACAAGTGTATTTTGCACAAAATTATGAAGATACATATAAAAATATAATATTTTTCGGTAATAAATTATTTTGCAGAATCTTATGATCTAATATATTACTTTTTCGCGATTTTTGGATTCAACGAAATCTTATATTAGCTGTCGAATTCCAAGACTACGCAAAATGTCGTATTCAATAGTGCGAGCGATGCTAAACGATCATTGTTGAGCGCAAATAATTTTTTATCAATTTTAATCTGGAGAAAGATCTTTCTCCTTCTGCATTTGATCCAAGAATCGACAAATATATTCTTAATGCAATGTGAACGTTAGGAAAAGTATTCAAGTTTATCTTTAACATTGTTATCGATCGAACTAATCATAATGGTATTGTCGATATCAACTGCAATATCGGCAGTATGTCGGTATTGCAGATAAAGTTCGATAAACAAATTTGTAAATTAAAATCCATATTAATAAGAATGTAAAAAAAAATATGCAAGAAAATTTTAGCATATATTTTGAAAAGAGGGGAGGAGTGGGGGAAGGAGGGGAGGGCCCAAAAACGGCTATGCCTAGGGCCAACGAAAGGTATAACCCGGCTCTGTGCCTACGAAAGGTATAATCCGGCTCTGCATCTGAACCATGTATCTACTCCCATTTGCTTTAATTTAAAATATTCTTCACAATAAACCAACTTCACATTATCTCTAATATCCTTGATTTTCATAAAACTTCTCAATTAAACTTACCACTATATTGTTTACTTTTATATTTAATCTATTAGCCAATACAGTAGATATAAACGATTACATACTCCCCATGTCAAGTATTTTATACACTATTAATCTATTACGAAATGCATTTTTTATATATAAAATACTTGTGGGAAGCAAAACACTGTTCTGGAATGATTTTATTACCTCTGCTAAGAGAAAAAGATAAGTCAGATGATGTTTGGATATCGACGAACACTCTTATGAGGTATTGAGATTTTAATGCTTCTTTAAGAGTATGTTTCTTATAAAATTTTCTGTGTAAGAGAGTGTAGGTGTTTTGCCTTGCAGATGGAACAAAACCGTGATGATTAGCATTGAGTTCGCTTATACAATTATTGCAGCAATTTTGTTTTACATTAAATTCCAGTGAGTTCAACTAACTTGAAGAATGACTCATCTGAAAATTTTTCTTTTTTTCATAAGTCACAACTAAGTACAAAAAGTAATATTTCCTTTCTTTTGGAGTGAATGTTTTGTTATATTAGACTAAATATTCTCTAACATTAAATGTCCTTTTTTCCTTCTAAAAATTCTTTCCAAGCAGGTAAATCAGTTTAACACTAATGAATGTTTCTAACTGTTTTTTAGTTTTTTTTATGTAACCTTTTACAAGTTACATTAATTTACAACTCTGGAGAAAATTATTTAATTTGAAACAAATTGTTTTTAAAGAGGTTTGTTTTAAAACATAACAATTTTGAATACAATCAACAATTATTTTTATTTATTCCCGGATTCTTAAAAAGGCATATCTCAAGATAATTTATTACAATGATTGTTGATGCAATTTAAAGTTATGCCATTCCTGATATTGCCCAGCAATGGAATTTCTAGCAGTTTAATGTTTACACATTCAGTTTTTTATTTTAAATTATGCACATTAATTCAATCAAAACAGTTTGTTTACTAAAAGTTGAAATTACTTTGAGACTTATCCCTAGTCCTATTTCTTTATGTTCTAAGACTGAATTTTAAATAGCATACAAATCGGCATTTTCTACTATTTCAAAATAAATTTTTTTTTTAAAATTCAAGTTTGAATTTGATTTTTTCCCAAAGTTTGCATTTTCGTTCGGCTCCAAGACAGTTTCAGAAGCTAGAAATTAGCCAATCTTCGTTACAGAGTGCATAGTCAAATCATTGAACAAAAAATAAGCACCTTTTAAGCCCTACATACATCAACATAATGCAAATTAATTTTCAAAGACTTTACATGATCATGTTAAAATAACTAGTTTCTGATAAACTAGAAATAAGACATAAATTTTTAGTAATTAAAAATAAAATATATTATATAAATGTGTGTTTGCAGAACAGTACTTCATCAGGGGACACACTGCCTGCAAACACAAAGGAGCTTTTCTGTTGTTAGTGGATTTAACCAAAACTAAGAGTGGCCCGAGGCCTTTTAATGAAAAGACAAAAGTATAACTTTTTACCACAATTTAAAAGTACTATAAACTTGAAAAAGAATCACACCTAAACGGTACAAATTTTAAATCAACAATTGAATGAAACGCCTCCTTAAAGCACAATTTAAATAAATCTAAGCAAAGTAACAGTTAATAAAAGTGACAATATTAAATATTCCGAATCAGTAAGAGAAAAACAAAGTTGTACAAGAGCATGCAAGAATCTCACTGAACCCAGCTAAGCAAGAATCCGCAAGTATTTCATCCAACATGTACGTAAACACCCTACGTACCGACAGTACACTGCAGTGGATTGCATTTGAATGAATTGTGAAATCGCTTAATAAAACAATGTGAAAACCGCGCTTTTGCATAATACGTTTTGAAAAGAGAAAATTAGGCCCATTTTATGAACACCCAATAAAAAAAAATCCCCTTAAGGGCTTTCAAAAACCAAAAATAAGCAACTGTTAGAACTTTTTAAAAACGCTACGCACCATGTAGTTGCTAGTCTTTTGCAATTTAGGATAATTTGAACCTTCAAAGCAATTTTTAATGGAAACAGCTCTGACAAGAGGATACCAAAATTATGTGTGTAGTAAATATTATTAAATGGACCTATAAATTTATTGAAGGAAAAAAAATACTATAAACGTGCAGCTGCTGCAATAGCAGAGCTTTCTTGTTTGAAGTTAAACAAAGTAATTCCCTCGATTCTCTGACAGCAATGTAAAGTGAAGTGGGTGAATGAGAAAGGAATAATCATGTAGGTGTATAATTTTGATTTCAATGTGTACATAAACAATATAAAAAACTTTTTTTTGAAGTCAATTCCTGCTTATGTCAAAAATTTTTTTTTATTTTAGTTACTTTTTATTAAATAATTAAAATTTTTTGCTTCCATATAAAACTAAAATTAATTAATTAAATTTAATTAATGAATGAATATTTGAAAAAACTGTATTAACATCAAGAGTCATCCACTACAAGTTTAAAAAAATGCATTTGAACTAGAATAGATGAACAAAAAGTATGTTATCAACGATTCACATTTTGAACAAGTTATATAAATATATATAGGAAGAGTGTGAAGTAGTGGAAGGAATGAAAAAAAAAGGCACGTAGTATAAGACAACTCTAAAAGAACCACGCACGCTACCACGTAATGTTCTTTATTGAATCTAAAGGTCTGGTTTCTTTGGACAAGCGCCTTATCTGGGCGTCAGCGGGACGTCAACGTCCCGCTGACGCCATCAAAATACTGGTTACTTAGAACTAGCGCCTTATCTGGGCGTCAGCAGAAAGATGACGTAGAGCTGACGCCAAAAAAATACTTTTTTGTCAACTCAGCGTGCGCAGTCGGTCGAACGCAGACATTATCTCTCATTGCGCATGCGTTAACAAATATTTATTTTGAATTTGAATTGATTTTGTTATTGTCGACCAGTGTCTTAGAGCACAAATAATGAAAAAACACATTATAGCTGAGCTAAATGAAGAGTGCTATGTTTAATTAAGAAACTATGTTTAATGTCAAAATCTTGGCTGATTTTAATGTACTGTTGGATGTTGTCCGCTGTTGCTTCTGTGGTTAACGTCACGTTGTAATCCAATTACAGTTGAGTTGGACGGCAATTGTAGTTCAAGATGAGCGTTCGATGACCTATACTATCAAACTCACAAATGGACCAATCAGAGGTTAGCGCTGATTTCCAGCTGACGGCGTCCTGTCCTAAGAAACCAGGCCTAAACACAGCAAAAATAAAATAATAAATTTGCATAATAAACTATTTTTTTGTTCAACGAGAATAAGTTAGAAATTATCACCGATGTTGTATTAGTTAGAAAGTATCACTGATAAAACTGAATCTCTCACAGTAAAATTTAAAAAAAAAATAAATAAATAAAAAACGACCAACGCTTAACCAATCAGAAAATTCCATTTGAACTTGAGAGGATAAATAAAAAGTATTTTATTAACAATTGAAAATTTGAACAAGATATAGTGTGAACTAATATAGTAGGAATTGAATAAAAATAACCAACAAAAGATGCATACTGAATACTTACAAAGGAGGAATGTGAATTGTTAGATCATAAATTTTTTAATGTGTTAACATGAATAGATTAGTATTCAATAGGCAAGTTGAATATAAAATTTATCTTTAGTATGAAATATGGCTATTTTTGTTTCCAAAGTAAATTCACACTCTTTTAAGAATTGAGTTAGATAACAAATAGCCTTTGTAAAAACTAAATATACAACAAAACAAGTTTAATTCAGTTGAAAAATAAATATTTTATTAAGTGATTGTTTGGATTGCATATATATATTTACATTCATTTTTAAAAAGGTAAAAAATAGGTTATCTGAATAAAAACAAAAGAATATAAATTTTGCATTATAGTTGCATGTCCTTGGATACTACAGGAACAACAGCAAGATATAAAAGCAAAATGCATAAAAGCGTAGGAAGAAATGGCATTAAAATTTGTTGCACGAATAATACAGATTGGCAGGGATCCGAATTCTGTAAAAAACAAAAGATAATGAATCAAAAAAGGGTCTTTCATGATAATGAGTCTCATATATTATAACAACTTTAATAAAAAGTTACACTAATAAGTAAAGAAACAAAAAGCTAATGTGCAGCTACAAATTAAATTGGAGATGCTTAGCTGAAGAAAAATTATATTGATTAAAAATGTATTTATTAGTCGTAGAAATTATATGGGGACATATGAATTATATTGTTTAATAAGGTGGAAGGTTTTGCGGTATAATGTTACTTAAAAAATAAAAAGATTTAAAATTTAGATTAGTAGATAAAGGGTCGGTCCGAATCCAAAGAACATCTTTTTAGAACGAAACTGATTTCAGAACTCATATTATGGACTTATCAAATTCATTTTATAAGTTGAAAAATTATATTTTGGATATTGTTACTTGGAAGTTAAATCTAGAAGAAAGTAAAGCTCCCCTTTATTTTCTTCAAAAAAGTTTTAGGGATTATTTGAAATTAAATGTATTTGTTAATTTTGTGTATTTATAAAAAATACTAGGTACTTTTAAGTACTGAAGGCAAAATATCAGAAACGTTGATACTAACTCATCACTATTACTGATAGATATTGGTGAATTTATAAAAGAATAGCTTGTCATAAAGTTAACCCTTATAATAACAGAAGAACTAAATGGGTTTACAATTATATGTTGGATTAGTTTTATACAAATGTTAAGCATAAACATCTTACTCACACTCGTATCAGGGTGCATAGTCAGATTTTCAAAAAAAAAAAAAAAAAAAAAAAAAAAAAAAAAAAAAGAGCACCTTTTAAGCACTCAGAAATTTTTTTTTAAATCACTTTTCAAAAGAAAAAAAATTATAATTAGGATATGTGCATTTATAATTTTCTTCTTCTTTTGTTTAAAATTCTTAATTTATAAACATAAAATCTACAAAATGCAAGAACATTTTCAGAGACCTTACAAAATCATGATAAAATAATTAGTTTCTGATAAATATTGCTGAAATTTTTTTTTGAAAATCATGCTTTTTTTTGCACAAGACAATGATTGACACAAGAAAAAATCTTATTTTGAATGAAAGAAAATTAAGTACTTTTTACAAACCCCTGCTAAAAAATGCTTTTAAAAACGTAAATAAAAAATAAGCACCTTTAAGAACCTTTTTAAAAACGTGCTGCACCCTTTAGTATTCCACACAGAAATTGATTTAAATTAATAAAAAGTCATGAATTGAATAAAAAGTATGCTCAAAGTATACTTACAATAAACATCTCACAATTCTATGTCACTGTATCAGTGCACTGCAAAAAGAAAAAAGTATGATAAACTGTAAGCATTAAATCAATGGATATCAATAAATGAATTTTTAAAATCACTACTAACATGCAATAAAATATAAATTTTTAAAATACTTATTTTTGTATTCTATTGAAAATTAATCATGGAGAATTCAGAAATATCAAATTAAGCAAGATAAACAAGATTTTTTTTTAAAAAAAAGCAAGAAATAAAAGCATTTTGCATTCATAATTATAATTATATTAATAATTATACCACAGGGCTCGATAAAACTCAGAAAGTTTACCTGTCCTAGAGGACGGCTTGTCCAAAAATGTACCCGTCCTCCTTTGAAACTAACCCGTAGCTTCTAAACTACTAGGATTACAAATACTAGGTTACTAATAATAACCTAGTATTTATTTTATGAAATATTTTAAATGACAAAAGTCAAGTTATCTGGAATGTCAATTTTTGCGAGGGTACTGCGTTTTTTTAAATGAATCAAATATGATGTTTGCATGTTCCACAATCAAGCCAATAATTTACAGAGGTTTCTGCACAGAAATCTGAAAAGAGTTTTTCATTTAGGTAGATGTTTATAATTCCGTTTAACGCTTCTTGTTTAAGACCAGCACGTAATGGTTTTTTTTTTTTTTGTAAGTTCGTTGCTGAAAAGCCCCTTTCGACTGCTGCAGTACTCCCAGACAGAGAAAACATCAATTCCACCATGCACAGTATGTTGCTATATTTCTAGATTAGAGGGTCATTTTAGAATGTGAGGCGCTAGACTCTTGCAAGATAACAAAAATTGAAAATGTACCACGAACATGCAAATGCACAGGAAAATGCCCGTCCGCGCGGACTCGAGAAATTAGTTGTCCGCGGGGAATTTTTGACCGCCGAGAACGGGCGGTTTTTCGAGCCTTGTTATACCATAATTATAGCATTAATTTTAGGTATCAAAACAAATGATACCAAAAATTAAAATAAAAAACAGGCAATCAATGAAAAAATTCAGTTGTTTTTAAATTATTGATTTATTTTAGTTTAATAACATTTGCATTAGAGCTTACACCAGAAACAGAATTTTCGCGGTTACGTTAGAGTTAAAGAAGTATCATAAAAAACCAAAAACTTTTTCGATATAATTATAGATTTTCAGAGCTTTAATTTTGTGTAAAACTATGACTTTAACTAAGTATTGAATTAAAAAAAAAAAAAAAAAAAACTTTTGATATTTTGCAGCTTTAAACAACTTATAAAGAACTAATAAACAATATTAAAAGAAATTACTAGTTTCTTTTGCAGTTACATTCTTAACAAAGAAACAACAAAAAAAAAAAAAAAAAAAAAAAAAAAACTGCATTTTTTAAAAAAAGCAATTTTGCTTTGTTTCAGAAGTATAATTTTTTATTACCACAATATTGTTTTAAACTATAGAAACTAAAGCTTAATAAGCTATATGTAGACAAACTGAACTGAAAATAAACTTTAACAATAATTCTAGAAGATTTATTTTAACCTTAACTCAAGATGACTCTTGTCTTTAAGATATTTAAGAGACCATGGGAAAAAAATATTACAATTAAACATGCTTGTATCAAGCGAGAAATAAAATAAAAGAACATTCTTACCAGTTATGGTGACAAGATCTTCAGGCTCTTGCTGCAATGGAAAATATTAAGCCATCAACAGATATACAAGAATATTAAGAATATGTTAAAAGAAAATAGTGTATTATTTTATAGGAAAGACAAAAGCAATGTTTTAATACAAATAAAAAAAAAATGTTTCCAACTTATTTACAGAAAAGAATCTAAACTAATTTTTCGCTCTCCTTTTGAACACAACTGAAATAACAGTAAGAACTTTAATTATCCAACAACACCTATGGGACGACAGATAGTCAAAATGCAGCAACTCTAAGTCAATGTGGCATTATTTATGTTCTTTTTCATCCTGCTTAGCTTTCATTATTGAAATTTTTTAATTCATTGCTGTACCATGGTTTTTTTTTTATAATATTCTTAATTTGCTGCTTTTGACTTTAAGTTAATGCATGCTTCTTTTTTNCCGACAACACCTATGAGACGACAGATAGTCAAAATGGTTAGTTATAATCAGCTGAGAGGTTATTAGTTAGCCATTTAGTTAGTCTATCAGATTATTATCAGTCCAGTACATTAGAATATTCAGATATTTATAATCTAGCAAAGTTCCCCCTTTTTTTTTTTTTACAAAAAAAATGTCATTTTGATTTTTCTCAACTCAGATTTTCTGTATCCGTGTTTGGTTGCTTACGAAGGTTCATTGTTAGAGACACAAAACTACAGCAACTCTAAGTCAATGTGGCATTATTTATGCTCTTTTTCATCCTGCTTAGCTTTCATTATTGAAATTTTTTAATTCATTGCTGTACCATGGTTTTTTTTATAAAATTTTTAATTTGCTGCTTTTGACTTTAAGTTAATGCATGCTTCTTTTTTAATCAAATTTTACCATCTTATTTATGTGTGCTTATGTGGTGATTTAAAGGCAAGAAAAGAAGTCCAAAATGCCATATAACAAGAGATTTGCAGATCTTTAAGCAAGAGAGCCAGGGTTATGCCACTAAAGGCATTTAATTTTTTTTTTGGTGATATAAGTTTTGGGAAAGAACAAAATTTTCTGATCATGTCTGAACTTCAGTTGGTTGTTGCACTTCATTTTCCTATTATCTCTTATAAAATTAAAACGAAAAAAAAAAGGTAAATATAAATCAGACAAATTAGGCTGATACCTTGCTTGTTTTCCACCACTAAGATATTTGAAAAATAAAAATATACAGCAGTAATAACTCAATTTTGGGAAAAATTGATTTTGTTTAGATAGCATTCTTCATAACAACATAAGTTATCAAAGCTTTTACTCATTATAATTGTCAATTATTAAACATAAATTAGTTGGTCGTTCTTACAACCATTATAATACACAAATACAACTACTCAAAATAATTATTCAAAATCAATATATAATAATTCAAAAATCAAGTATAAATTGAAACTTACCATTTTTGTGTTATGATTTTCTTGCTTCTTAACTTTTTCAAATAATTCTTGTATTTTACTAATACCTAAAATTTAAAGTCACAATATTAAAACAATTGAGTACTTCGGCTAATAACAAGTTTTAGTAAAATTGTTTTCAGTTATTAAAATTAGTTATTTTCATGAGTTTTTTTTAACAAGTAAAATACTAGGAGGAGTTGTAATGTAAATGTAAATGAATTTACATTATACTGAAAAGGATAAACATTATTAAAAACATTGAAATACATACAATGGAGTCTTTCTGAAATGAAATAAATTGGTACTTGAAAAATTCAGGACATGCAAAAATAATGTTGGACAGTTTAGCTATTTCCGACAGCAATCGAGAATGACCAGTTTTTGATCCTTTGAGGTGGAAGCCAATAAAGCTTTAAGTCAATGGATAACCAGCTAGTCTAGGAAGAAAAGGCAGCCTGTGCTCAATGCCAACCACATTGTCGTTGTTCATTGTGAAACTGCAACTTCACGACCCTCTTATCCCGCAGCAAGCTGTTGCCAGTATGCTTTACATAAAATATTTACAAGTAAAGGTGAAAATCTCTCAAATTCTGAATAATGTAATTGTAGCTTTAAGAGTTAAAAAAACAACAACTTAAAATTGCAAAAAATCTAAATTTTTTAATAAATATTTTTAGGGAAGGTCTAAAATGAGTTATCACCATTGACATAGAAAATCTCTCATTACGTATTATCACTGAAATGAATTATGCAAGTGGTTTCAGAAAGAGGAGCGTGTGAAAGTGAATTAACCACACAGAAATTTTAATTTTTCGTCAAAACTGAAGAAAATCAAAAAGCTAAAAATTTGAAAATATACAAAAATGATGAAGAAAAAAATAATAATTACATTATATGGAGAACATTTTAAATGCTGTTTAACGCTTTGATTAGAAATTTAGTCAAAGGGAGACTGTTATATGGAAAAATTTGCTAGAGGGAGACAGTAGCAAAGCGAGTGAAACAGTGAACACACTGGGTTATTTTTTTGATTAATCAGCATTAACAACAAAGCTTAAACGATAAAATTAATATTAATGATAAGAAAAGTTACAATTAAAAGAAAGCCGAACTAATAAATCAAGAAGATTTTAAAAGCACATTCAAAGAAATGTTCAAAATATATCAGAGATAGAGGAAATAAATAAAACACACCATTGATTCTTTTATCATGGAAGGTCTGTTCCCAGGCCCATAATAGCCTGTTATAATAAGTAACAACATCAAAATATTTGAAATAAACATCAGAAGTCTCTGTGGGGAAGACACGAAGAAAAGAACCACGCCTATTATTTTCATCCTCAGTCTCCATCAAACAATAAAGATCATCCAGTGTTAAATCATCCAATACATTGGCACTCTAGAAATAGAAATAACAGTAAAAAGATATTCACACTGAATTAATGGCACATTGGTTCAAAAAAGCAGACTGGAAATAAAATTTGGCCAGCGTTTCACAGTTTTTGCCTTCTGTAAATATAAATCACTAAATTGGATTTTAAAAACTTTTAAATCGGAATCTGCGTTGCATAACTTTTAGACTATGTGAATATGAACCACAATGTGCAGCTTTTAAATCCTGTACAAGTAGGAAAATCGATATTTGTTATTGCAAACGCGGGAATACAAACCGCAATTTTGGATTTTAAGGGCGGAATACTCCTAATTGTGACATTGGATTTTAAATTTGCATGAATTTCGATTTGAGATACTGAACATTTAAATCGAGTGAAAACGAATCCAAACTTGTAACTTTTAAAATTGGGTAAACATGGAAAACAATGTTTGATATTTGTTAACATTTCATACCTGTCAACATTGTAATCTGCATCACATTACTACTCTGAGCTAGGGTGTTTTAGTCAACAGAGTATTACACAGAAAGTTTTATTTATGGAATTTTTACACAAAATTATTTGTCAACATTGTAATCGGCATCACATTACTATTCTGAGCTAGGGTGTTTTAGTCAACAGAGTATTACACAGAAAGTGTTATTTATGGAATTTTTACACAAAATTATGAGCTATCTGTTACTAAATTTATAAAACCTTTCAAAATACACTAGTCAATTTCGCATATTTTTTAAAAAAAAATTTTAATTTTGAAAACAATAAAAAAGAGCCCTTTTTTAAATCTGGACTAACTATATTATTATACAATTGTTTTAACACAAATACTTTTACTTAATCACAACCCGTACAATTATAATGATTAACCATACAACCATGTAAAATACCATACACGAAATGACGAAACCGTACAAGTTGGCAGGTATGAATATAGTAGTTCTTTATTTTGTGTGTGTGTGAACAAAACCTTTGGAGGGTTAAACCCTTTAACTATTAGGCATCTTCATTTCCCCACACACCTTTAGCCTTACATAACACTACGCAAAAACCAGAATTTTTTTTAAACAAAACTTTTCTTAGTGCAACATATAAAAAGTTCAAATCATGAAATAAAAATTTTTACTCTTAAAAAAAGAAAAAAAGGAACATACCCCATTAGAATATTTTGATGAAAAAAGCGATTCATTTCTTATTTCTTCAGCTAACAGCAGCCTTGGAATTGGCTGGTGTCTGATCCCTTCGGCGTGCAAACATCTTTAACAGAAAAAAAAATCACTAACATATAAAAAGAGAAAAATGAAAACATAAAGAGTGCAATGAAAAACATTTTCACCAAACTAGTTAAAATAGAGAATCACTCAATTTTTCAGGTTTCGTAACAAGTTATGGCAATAAGTAAAATAATCTATATTTAATAAAAAAATAAATAAAAATAATAATTTTGACAACAAAAATGTCTTTTCAATGTTCAACGTTTCAATGTACAGCTGATTTTCTGAAGTTCCCTAAAATGTAATAAAACTTGGTTTTAAACTTCCAATTGTAAAAATATTGATATTTTCATAAAAAATAAATAACGCCGGACCATGCAGGGGAGGAAATTTTTTTTAAAAAACTAAATAAATAAAAACAGAATACCAAAAAACATAACATTAAATTTTTTTCATACGACAGCCTTGAAATTACTATATATATTATGATACTTATATTATGGTATCTACTTACATAAAACTGATTTTTATGCTCTTTCATTTAAAAAAAAAAAATAATAAGTATTTGAGCATTGTGCGTCATTCATATAATCCTGCCAAAACATATACAGGAAAAAGTATCCTTTTTGAAAACTTAACTTAAATTTTTTTTTTTGCATCTGTTGTCTTTTATATCCCATTGGCACAAGAAAATTACACTGGCATGCAAATTAAAAAAAACAAACAAATAAAACCTTTCTCTAAATTTTCGTATTAAAAAAATAAATACGATCATAGAAGAACAACAAATACTAATTTTGTGAATTTAAAAGTAATCGGTTTGTAAATTCAGAAGTAATTTTTCGTACATAGTAGTAAAGATTAAAGCCTTCCAGATGCATAACTTCCAACACTGGAGAAATGAAATAACGGAGAATTCACTAGCGAAATTTTTTAGGCTACTAGTTAAGTTTCACATCATGCATAATCATGCAAGTCAAAAAAAGAAATAATATCAGCACTTACATTTAGCAAGGTAAAAAATATATATATTAAATCTTAATCAGAAAAAGAATTTTTTTAAACCATTATTATAATTACTTAAAGTATTTTATTTTATAACCGTCATTGAACAGCCGATCCAATAATTTTGGGTTTACGACTACTAATGCAGGGGTGAATGTGAGCCAAAATCAAAATTCCGGAAAATTTCCAGAGTTTAAAAAAAAAAAANAAAATTTCCCGAGTAAAAAAAAAAAAAATTTAAATTGAAAAATTAGAAAAAGATTTAAACCAGGTTTTTCTAGGAGAAATAATTACAATTTACAAATATGTCTTACTTTCTTGAGTTTATGATTATAACTATTTACTGATAAAAAATGTATCTGGCTCTCCCTTACAAACAAAATAAACTGCGTTTTTAAGTTCCACTTTTGAAAATTTAAATTCCGGAAACTTCTGTGATCAATGATTTTTTTAAACGTCTGGACCTTCGATCTCCGGAAACTTCAGGATCACTGTTAGCGAAAAATCCGGATTTTTTCCAGAGCACAATCAGCCCTGCTAATGTTCCACACCTTAGCCTTTTAATTTTGAACCCAATCCAGAAGACAAGGATCTTCTGGATCAAGTATTGGGAGAAATTTGCCTTCGTGGAGGACTTTTTGATGGAACTAGCCCGCATTTGCATCACATGGAGAGAAAAGCCACGAAAAACCTAAGCGGTTAGCCTGACGGAAAGGCGACTCTAACCCATGATCCGTCTACCACTGAGGATATTTTTACTTCAACTATTAACACTCAACATACTGCAGTACTGGCAACAATTGAGGAAAAAGAGAAGTATTTTTGCCAACAGCGTATATTTTATTGAAATTTTTTAAATTATTATTTTTTAACAAATACAGAGAAATTTCAGAACATATGGGCAAACAGGAGATAGTCGTCAAAAACACAGTAGGCTTCATTTATAAACAGGAGACTTGGCAGGTATGCAAATGTTTCAGGGACAGACAAATTATGAAAGGAAACAAGTATTTTTGTAGAATCTATGCCAGAAAATCAAGCAATAAACTTGTAACTTAAACTGATTACTTCATTTGTTATTTGCAATAACTGCATAAAATTTCATAAACCTAACTTAAATATTTATGGAGATAATGACATTCTTATAAAAAAGAAATAAATTTGTCGTAATTTTTTTTTGCTATAACTTTAAAAGTATTTAATAAAATTTAAAAAAAATCTTTGGAGTAAATAAAATTAATGAAATTGTTTTATAAAATTCCTTAAAAACTGCTCAAGATATGACTAATTAAAGTAGTTCTTTTAAACTGCGCATGAGCGGAATAAAGGTAATTTTTTTTTTATTTTTATAATTGAAGAATCAGATTTAAATATCTTAAAAATTTAAAGACTTTCAAACAATTTATGTAGTTGTGTCCTTTTTTTGTTTAAAAAAAAAAAAAAAAAACTAAAAATGATAACGGGTTTTCCAAAAATTTTATATTGTATCATAAAATTTAATAACAAATGATAATACCTTACCATAATCATCCAAACACCAAACTGTGATGCTATAAGTGTGATGCCAAACTGTAATATTATAATAAAAACACGTTTTATTAAAAAAAAAAGTTTTATATTTTAAAATTTTTTATATCTCCATAAATATTTAAATTAGATTTATGTTGCTTGATTTGCATAGGATGTACAAACTTGTTTTCTTTCATAATTTATTGCCGGTCTCGGAAGCCTTTGACATCTTTAAACTTTATTGTCTAAACTTTTTTGTTACAAAAAATCCTCTAAGTATTTCTTGAAATTTTTTTTTTTTTTTTTTAAAAATGTCAAAAACTGAAAGTGCATCTACCATAATTGTAGGGTAGTGTAGATTTTTCCTACTTAATTGTTTTATTAATGTTTATTATACGTAAAAAAAAAAACCTTTTACAACTATCAAATTATTAATTGTGAAACTCTTCCATTAATTGTAAAAAAAAGATTTTTAAAATTAACTTACACAGTTTCTGTTGATCCAGCAGCTGGTTTCTGTGGCAATTCGAATCCAGCAATATTCAACATGTCCCTAACGAGTGGACCCTATGATTTAATATTGAAAAAATAAATAATATTAGTGACTAGATATAGATAAAAAGTAAGAAAAATTGTGTTAACACACTTTGATTAAAAACAAACAGTACCAAAAATTAAAAACAAAATTAGATAATTATAAATACTATTTTTTATTACATTATACAAATTATAATTTAAGCAAATTCTGTTTTCTATACAAAACATTAACATAAAATTTTCTTAATATTAACTGAAATAAATTAAAATTTATATTTTGTAAGTAAGATTCAATAACATTTAAAATTTAGTAACACTGCATAGAATTAGATACTAAGAGTTCTGGGAAAGATTTTGATAAGCCATGTTTCCAAATTGTTCAACGCGAAAACACCTATTTAGGCGATTTGCTGTAGTCAAGTGGAAATTCATTAAACTTGTGAAGTGCTTATCTGGCACAGATACAGGGTTCCTACTCTTTTAACAAAGCAAAAATAGACTTTTAAGGACTTTTTTTGAAAAAATGAAGGCCTTTTTTGAAAAATGAAGTACTTTAAAAATAGTATGATTGTTTATCATCGAATATACATATGGGTGATTCTCACGAAACATGACAATTCGGACCAAAAAATTTCCTCAAATTTGAAGTCTTCAAAATAATCTAAAAATTTTTTTGTATACTTCTTTAGCTACATTTATTAATATCTTATAGACAGCAGTGTAGTTTATTGACATTTGCTCGAGAAAAAAAATAAAATAGAAATTCACCAAATCTTGAATGCCTGGAAAATGACATATTACTTTAGAAGTTTAAAAAACAGTCATTTTAAGTTAATAGTAAGTAACTCAACTTAAGCCTTTATGTTAGATGGACCATAAATTGCTTAAATTAATTCTTTTTATCCACTGTAGAAAGAAACAAAAAAATTTTTGCTGATATGTACAGAACAAAATAGTTTACAATAATCAATCATTAAATAAATAACTTTGATTGCATCCAAGCATATTACAATCATATATAAACTTGGTATTAGGTTAATATTTGCTTTCCCTCTTAACAGTATTAGCAGTTAAAAAGAATTTCTGGTAACACTTCAATGTCCTGGCATTCATAAGCCAGGAAAATGACAAATTCGCTATTTTATAGCACATAACTTTAATTTAATATTCTGGCCAAAGACGTTTATATTCTGCAGAAAATAACAGTATTTCTTAAAATAACTCAGATAAATCTATGTAGTTTTTGTTATTAATTATTTTAAGAAGTCAGGAAAATGACAGCATAAAAACCTACTCTCCTTGAAAAAATTTTTGAAATAGATTTTGAGCCAGAAAATTGGTTCCTTATTCATGCAACAAGACATGTTCAGATAGGAGGGTATCTAATCAATCTATTAACATAAGATATTGATTCCTGGCGCTATCTATTTTTGTTATAAATCATTAAATAAAAGTAGCCAGGAAAATGACAGATTTTCATGGGACAAAAAAACTGAACGAAGTTTTAGTAAACAATACCCTCTGCGTTTATTCCAGAAATGCTTACATAGGATAAGATTAAAAAAATTACATTTTGAAAAATGTATGAGAAGTTTTGAAGCTAGTTATTATTGGAAATATTGTTTGGGACATGCCAGGAAAATGACATTTTGATATTCAATTAAATTTTTTAAGTATACAAAACAGTCAATGCTAGTGCAAAGTCATTTTAAAATACTAACAGCAATGCTATTTATTAATTTTTTTTTTTAAAAAAAAGTTCTTTTAGTATTAGATTTTGGAGCAAGGAAGAGTGAATCTCACGTTTCGTGAGAATCACCCATATACCACCAGTGACAGTGACAATAATTTACCTTTCTTAAGAAAGAAAATAAATAAATAAAAAGAAACAACAATCTTATTATAATGTAAATACTGATATATAATTGTATTAACAGAGCTGGCCAAAGCAGGATCAGGCAAGTTTTACAATCCCAGGTCGGGACTTTTTAAAAAGTATTTTCAGATAGTTAAGGGTTAACATTATCTATGAAACTAATTCCATTTTTAATGATTATTCTGTATTCCATTTTTAATGATTTAATTGAATAGTAAAATTAAGATTTGCAATAACGCTACTATCCCTTTCTTTTAGAATGCTTCACTCTCCTCAGAGTATCATTCTAGGCAAAAGGCAGAATATTTAATGAAAGGACATGCTTTCTTTCCCATGCCTATACCCCCCCCCTCACACACATCCCGTCATGTCTCTCTGACATGCTCTGCCTTGATGCATGGCCTCATTCTAGGTTATAAAAGAACAACTTTTTGCTTTAAAAAATTTAACTGAAAAATTATTCCTATCAACTATAGTGATGTTGAAAAATTAAGTACTTTTAAAAACCTTGCACTAAAATTAAGTACTTTTAAGGGCCCATATTTTTTTTAAAAAAAATTAAGCAGTTTTTAAGGATTGTGGGGGCCCTGAGATATGATTTGATTAAAAATAATTTTTCTTCTAATAGTTTTACCGTGTCACATATTTAGAATCATATTCTTCCTTTTTTCATATCCTTTTATTCAATATTTAAGACAGATTCATTTTTTACCAATATTATAAAATTTCATATTATCACTATTGATGCATGGGAACCACTCTAAAACAATATCAAGACTGAACTTACATTTTAACCAATTAACACAGTCTAGCGTTATTTAGCGGAATTTTTCAGAAATTCATAGCTCACATAATTTGCATGAGAATTTCCCACACATTATATCAATCATTTTTTCTAAAGAAAGGAAATTTTTTTTTATCATTCCTTGTTTTACTTGCTTATTTTTTACAGCAAACAAGACAAAAATAACAGTTAACATCATAGATTGTTTTGTTCTAAAATAAACCTTATATTAACTCTGCACAGTACCTCAAAAGGTTGAGGAAAAAATGCTAATTTCTATAGATTCAACAATACAAATTTTGCTTACACAAGCAAATGCTGAAGTTAAGTCTAATTTTTTTTTAATCATTTTTCAATAATTATGAAAAAAGGGTTCCCACTCAATTTCAGAAATAAATAAAAATTCCCTGACTTTTCCAGGTAAACCAGTTAAATTTCAATGAAAATTGAGACCATATTTTCATCACAAAATTTTGATTCTTTTATTTATAATGTTAAATATTTGATTTTCTGTGTAAAAAAATATTAAATGAGAAAGGGAACATTTCAGTTTGAAAAAAAAAGTGAAATTTTTGAATAATAATTGAAATAGATGTTAGAATTATTCAACTTGAATCTCAATAATTGATAACTGTTACTGAAAGTTTTGAGACCGGTTATTTTCCAGGTATAATATAGGAATATTCCAGGTTTTTGTAAAAAAATTACAACTTCCCCTGATTATTCCTTGGAGTTAAAATAAAATTCCATGACAATTCCAGGTTTTCCCTGACCCATAGGAACCCTGTGAAAATTTAGAATGCTTTCATAAGAAGTAAAATTTTTCATTTGACAGAAATTATCTTCAAATTTCTTTAAAGAAAAGGGGAATTTCCTTTTATGGATGACTTAATTTACATAACAAATTAGAAAGAAAACATTAATTGGAGAACGGAATTCAGTCCACTGATCTTTTCTCAAGACTGATTTCAGACCTCAGGACTGAAGGGTGGCACACATGCTGATTTTCCTTTCTTTTTTTTTTAAAAAAAATAAAGAACACTAGGCATTGAAACTAGTAAACTAGAAAGAATTACTTTGTATATAAAAAAAAAGGATGAATCAGGAACTTACTTTTACATTTAAATCTAAAGTGGATTTTGAGTGTAAGCTGAAATATAGAATAAAAGTTCAATTAGATACTGAGCAAACTCATTAATTTTAGATACAAATGCAAAAAGAAAAATCAGAAAAAGCAAAACATTTTACCTGGGAGAAATGTTGACTTCAAGCAACCATGGCTGCAATTCTTTATCCAACATAATATCAAATCCAAATAATTCAAAACAATTATAAGGGCGCCTTGCATGCAGTTTCATCAAGCGCCGTATGGGACCTTCAGCACTGGTTAAAAAAACATTAATTATAAACAAAATTGAACCTTTTAGAATTAAAATATCTAATGGATCCGGAACTCACCCGATCACAGTTTTGATTATCATATCAACAATTGTGGCTTTAATTTTATCAACATCAATACCACTGTCAGACATGTAACTCCAAAAAGACTTTAATGACCTGAAAACAATACAAATAAAATAAATAATTTGTTATAAATAAACACATTTTTATGAATTCATCGCTACAGATTTCCCCATAGTATGCTTTAATACGTGTGTGACCTTGGAAGAATGGTCTGCATACCTGCCAACATTGGAGATTTTTTATTGGTAATTTTTTAGACTACCAGTAAAGTTTTGATACGTCAGGGATAATCCAGTAGGTCAAAAAGAGAGATTCAAAATCGGAAATAATGTAAGCACTTACATTTAGCGAAGTAAAAAACATGTATATTATTCTTAATCTAAAGAAGATTCTTTAAACCATTATTTATCATTACTTTATTTTATAACTGTCCTCGAACATCCAACCCAATTTTAGGTTTACGATTACCAATGCTCAACTCTGTAGCCCCGCAATTTTGAACCCGATCTAGAACAGTAACAAAAATCCTGGAACAAGTACTGGGAAAAATTTACCTCCCCGGAGGAATTTTTGATGGAATTAATCCACATTTGAGTTAAAAGGAGAGGAAAATCACGAAAAGTTCCAACAATAGTGGGATTCAAACCTAAAACCCGTCTACCACCGAGGACATTCTGCATCAGTACAGTAATCGGTGCAAGCTGGATTCGGAATTCATATGGACCAGTCATCCTTGGGACTCAAACTCGGTTCGCTTCATTAGAAGCAAACGCTCTACCCCCCTGAGCCGTTACAGCTTGACTTAAAACTATCAACACTCAACATACTGCAGTACTGGCGATAGTGCCAGTTATAAAGGAATAAGAGAAGTATTTTCGTAATCAGTAAATATTTTAACAAAAAAAAAAATTACTTTTTAAAAATTTTCTTCAACAATCATGAGAAATTAGAGAATTACAGGTAGACAGGAGATATTCATAAAATACAGGAGTCTTCGTTAAAAAAGTGGGTCTGACAGTCAAATGACGAATGTCAATATCTGGATGGGCATTGGGAAAAAATGTTTTAATACAACATTATAAGGCATCTTTAAGTTTGAAGAGAATAATCACTTAATGATCCATTCGATTTCATAATAAATCCAAGTGATTTGTCAATCACTTTTTTAGCAGATATTGCTCAAGGTTTCCATATGGTTCTTATGATCAATGTTTCAAATTATGTATTTGAGTAATAATTTTTTGACCAACTTGATGAGCAATTATTTTCCAGTGAATTAGTGTGGTTCTGTAGATTGTTTCTTTCGCAGCCATTAATAAAGGATTTTCACACTGTTTTTAAAATCTCAATGTTTTAGTACAATGTCATTTCGTTGGAAAGATTAAGAGTCCAAATTGCAAGTTTTCAATGGTTATTGCTAAAATTTTTTAGATGGCTTTCAAAATCTACTTTTTACTGCTACATTGGAATTTCAAATCATGCATTTGAAGAACCACTTTATAGTGCGCTTGTTTTACGATGATATAATTGTAAACAAGATTTTCTTTATTGCATCGTCAACAAGCATTACTTTGGATTTACACATGATTTCTATAATTAAATTTTTTTTAAATTTATAATTAATTTTTTTTTAATAATCTTTCTCTATTGGTGACCCTTGACGTTGATATTGGTGACAATCTTCAGTGTTTTAAAACAGAGTGTACGAATTTTTTAAGAATAAAAATAGTTTTTTTGCGCTTCAGTGAAATACCACCGTAAACATAAAATTCCGGATTTTGTGTCTGTGATGCCAATTTTGTTTATCATAAAATAGTTGAGATAAGATAAAAATGATAGAAAAATTGGTCAAATATCAACAAAGTCAAACACAATTATATATTAAAAAAAAAAAGAGTAAACATTTGAAGGAAAAAAAAAACTACAGCTACAATTAGAAATTTTGAGAGGTCTATAGTTATATTGAAGGATTGGAAAATCATCATCGCAGTCTTGAAAGAAAGAAAGTATGATTGCCTTGATGGGCAAAAGTGAGAGAATATTTTATGTGATGCCAAAGCAAAAAATATTATTTTTTGTTATGTTAAAGCAAAATGAATGCTTTCTGTTATGTTGAATATAACAAATAACTATATGTCAATGTGTTTAGTTATTAATTTGAATTCTTTAAGTCTTTCAATCTGCTACTGAAGAGTTAATTTTTTTTAAACAATATTTTTATAAGCTTATGATAGAATAACAGACATTCGATATTTTTTTCAAGATTTAATACTATACAGACTTAAGTTTTTCAAGTAGAAATGATAGCAGAAACAGCAGTTGGAGAAAACATTTTTTAACCCTAAATTTTTTTTTTAGTAAATCAAGAACATTTAGTTTTAAATTTTATGCAGGTGTCCAGAAATTTAAACATTAAAACTATATCTAATACTCTTTTGGAAAAAATTATAAACATAAATTTCTGCATAAAGCAGAAAATATATTCTAAAGCGATAACTTAAGTGACTTACCACTTATGACCTTGACAAAGATTAACATCGTCATTGGACGTATAAGCAGAGCTCTTTTTGTTGATGCTGTAGTTTGTGAGATGAATGAATCTGTTAGCAAATGATTTATCAGACAATGAGTACCTAAAACAAAAACTTTCTTTTACTTACGTTTATAATTATACATTAAAGGAACAAAATAAAAGTAAAGCTAAACCACAAGGGAGATGCAGGCCACTGTATTTCTTCAATAATAAAAAAATAAATAAATAAACCAAACACATAAAAAGCTAAATTTATTACTACAGATCAGAGTTTACATTTTAGAAGTTTTGGTAATATCAGTGTTCCCTCTAAGTGGTTTGAAAAGGACAGGCTGTCTCGCCTGCGAATTGTTCCCATAAATGTGCCCCCCCCCCCCGNTAAATGCCCCCCCCCCCCGAGTCATTTTTGTAACAATAAGCCGCAATGCCTTAAAAACACAGCTTTATTTCATTTCTTTGAGAAAAGGTTATTTTGATAATGAGTGTGAAATATTTTACGAAATATACACAAAAAATAGTATATGTGTCATTGGAAAATTGAAGATCAAAATCAGTTATTACATGGCGGTGAAAGAGTAACCTTTCAATACTCAAAATTCTCTTTTATGTGAGAAAAAGCCTGCCCTTTTGTATTTCCAGGGAAGAAAACTCTAGTACTAGACAATATTTGAAGCAGTTTTTAGATCATAGTCAAAAGGTTTTTCTAGAATTTGTGTTCATAACTTTTCTTTCATATTTCTTTATTTACTATACAAAGGTTTTTACTTTTATACGGACCACAAAGCGAGCATTCCTACTCTTAGTGAAATCGATATTAAAATGGTTAAGAGCTCTTTCACAAGCTTTTAACAAAAACATAAATAAATAAACTGAAAACTACATTTAAAAATTGCTCTTTTTTAATTCAGCAGATCATCAAAATACCTTTTACATTAAAATTTGATGGCATTCCAGCTGTAGAAAAAATAATTTCTTCTAACACACATAACTTGTAACAGAATTTGAAAATTCCAAAAAAATGTTTTCTGAAATTTATATACTCCATTTTGATAATTAGGTAACTTACTTCTCAGATGCAAATCGAACAAGACCATCTTCAAAAAGATAAATTCTTAAAGGATTAAAGCTGGGAACCAAGACATAAAGACGCAAATCAAACTTGCTACCATTAATCAAATATGGATCACTGACATACCTAAAATGATAAATAAATAAATAAACACCAATAACACCATATAATTTTTAAATATCTATCTAAGATTTACCTCTGAACAACAGCAGGACGTGTTTTAGGCACTTGAGACCATTTATGTATCAGTTTAACTCCGGTACCACGAGCTGAAGCACACTGTCAATTGAATAAAAAAGAATTCAGTAAAATAAAAACATAAATTTTAATACATCTCAGATACAATAAGATTAAGTATTTTAACAATTGTTGGAAACTACTTCAAAAGTTTAAATTTTTGGAAATTAATCATTCAAATTTTTTAAAATTCATATTATGCGAGTACTTTCACATAAATAACAATGTAAACAAAACAATAAAACAATATGTGTTTCATAAAAGTGAACATTTAAAGTAGTTGTCAAGAATAAGTGCAATTTTATTTATGATATGTGTTAATTTCTAAAAAGTTTCATGTAGCACTAAGCAACGAAATACCGTTATTTANCAGTTATCCGGAATAGCGATGAACCCGATCGTTCCGGATAATCGGTTCCCTACTGTACCTCTATTTACATTTTACTGTAATATCTACTTATTTGACATGCTTAAAAACATGCAAACTCTATTAACATATAAAAAGAACGTAAAAGCCATTAGCATATGATATAGTTCTAATAAATTGGCTATACTTTTTACGAAAATTATTCTTCAAATTCCTAGACCCAGAAGCTTAAAAATAAATGTACTTCAAAAGGCAAACACCAACTATTTGCCAGAGATGGTCATTAAAAAGTAAATTAATACAGTCAAACCCCGCTATAGTGAATCTTAATGGGACTGAAATTTTGGTTCACTATATCCGTTACGCAGGCAATTTCACTAATAGCTCCCAAACTCCTCCCTTTTATTACATTATATTCATATAAATGACTGAAAAATATTATATAGTAGCAAAAAATGTTTTATTTTCATCACTCTTCGTCTTGCGTACAAATAAAAATTTGTAATCTTTAGCTGATGAGCAATCCTCAACATCAGATATGGAAACACTTCTCGCCTCTCAGATAATTTTTCCTGAATTTCTGTTATTCCATCTTTTAAACCTGGCATTCGAGCAATAAAAGCAGTTTCTATAGATGGTTTTAAAAATCGGTATATGCATTTATTTTGAAGTAGAAATTTCAAAATTATTACGGTGAAAATGGGGGGAAATCAGTCGAAAACAGAAAAAAGTTCATTATATCCAACTTCCTCAATTTTTTGGTTCACTATATCCACTAAAAATAACATTATAAGTGTATAGCAAGGCACGGGACCGAGCATTTCGTTCACTATATCCGGGAGATCACTATAAGCCGTGTTCACTATAGCGGGGTTTGACTGTATTTCAATGAACAATATTTGTCTTAATACAAATTTATATATACTGGTTTTTTAATCCAACATCGATCTGGATCTTCTTCCCATGTCTTTTTCAAAACTTTCATGTCGGCCGGAAGGACATAAGTATCTGGAAAAAATCCAAACACTTCTTTACCATACTTCTTTTGCATTCTTTTAATATTATTCCACAGTTTATCTTTTCGTCCAAGATGAAAACTGCCAGGATAATGATTAACCTAAAAATATAAATTCATGGTATAGTAAAAAGATATAAACTAGAATTCTACATGCTCTTAATAACCTTCATTTTGACCAAAAGAAATTTTATCTTAAACCTATTGATAAACAATACAGGCTTTAAAGTGAGAATTATACCTCAAAGTACTAGCAGCTCTTTTCTGACAACAGAATAACAAGAGTTGAAAGTCATTTATAAAACCAGGGAGCGTAGCCAAATCTTTCAAAAATAAATAAGCACTAAAAAATATTTTAAAGCACTATACACATCAACATAATGAAAGATAATTTTTTAAGAATTCACACGATCATGATAAAATGATTAGTTTCTGACATAAACAACTCTTTTCTTATTATATTAGCCAAAACAAAAAGATCGAGAGATTTTCCGTTCGATTTCAGAGGGTGGAAAATGGAAGCCTGATTGAGAATATCTATCTTGCAAAATGCAGCAGAGTTGCACAAGAGAGTGCAAGAATCTCACCGAATCCAGCCCAGCAGATGCGGATCTGCATGTTTTCCATCAAACTGGTTAAATGATTGTCGCTTTCATATGCTTAGTACTGACGGAATGCCGAAATCCATTGTGTCTGAATGAAGTGGGAAAACTGTGAATAGAACAATGTGAGAAAAAAAACAAAAAAAAAAAAACACTTTTCCATAATATGTGTCAAAAATAGACATGGTAAAAAAAAATCTCATTTTTAAAAAGAGAAAATTAAACAATTTTAAAAACACCAAATAAAAAAAGCACCTTCAAGGGCTTTAAAAAAAATAAAATAGGCACCTTTGAAAAACACTACACACCAGGAAAATACAGATCACATAATGAATTTTTCCAAAAAAATATTTTCTACCAGAAAAATAGATGTTTTGTTAAAACAACCATAGGATGTCATTTAAATAACTTTCTTCGTAAAATTTCCATCTCAATTGATGCTTTTTTAATGTTTTTTCTCTCTCTTTAAGATAAAAAAAAAAAAAAAACTAGAATTATTTGAAAAAAACTAAAAAACTAGAATTATAAATAATTGATTGACACATTTTCTAGAAACAAATTTTTTGTAAAAGAAATTTAATCTGTTGTAAAGGGTCGGTAACCTGATGTAGGGGAGAAAAAAGAATGAATTTATACATAGTTGAATAGGAAAATTTAAAAAGGTAAATAATTTAACCATCTTTTAAAATAGACTTTACTTACTTTTTGAAAACTTTTTATTCTTCGAAATGTCAGGCATTTAAGATGTTTTCCCCATGTACCCAGCCAATCCTCAGTTGTTTCAACTAGAAAATAGAACATTCTTTCACATTTATTGTCACAACTATGGTTGTTATTACCACATTATAACAAAATCTCTAGCAACATTTTCACATTAAAAAAAATTTTCAAGCTGAAAATTTTTCAAAACAATATTCACAATGAAATTTTTTAAACAAAACAACTTCTTTGGACATATTTTTACTAATACACAAAAATAAAATTACAATAAAATATTTAAAATAAATAATACTCTAAGCAAGTTTTCTGCAATACAGATATTACACCACAATTGTTACAAGTTAAGGCAATGCATTTATCAATCGGTATATCAGATTATCTTAAGCTAGTTGTAATGAAACTCACACTAGTATACTCTCCTATTAAAACTGGCAGAGACAATAAGGCACACTCAACTTTAGTTTCAGTAGAGTTAACTTGATGAGAATGATTTTAATAACAATGGAATATAATTTAGAGTCACAGTTATTACTACCATTCACGGAAATAGTAAAAGGGCTACTGTCTTAGTGCTTCTACCATGTTTTCTTCTTTCTTTGGGACAGTTTTAGGCACAATTGGCAGTCTTTCTTTTTTCACACTATCTTTTGGTGATTTTTTTTATCCAGAAAAATATTCCACAATAACTGCCCAGCATAATCGGCACAATTGATTGGCAAACAATGTTTGATAATAAATGCTGTAAATAGGACTGGGCTATAAAGCGATGCATCGCAAAATATAGATTTAATGCATATAGCGGCAAGCCGATATAATGACTTGTCTCAGGCGATGCATCAGAAATCTGATTAAACCGCCGGTAGTAACTTTCGTTTTAGGCGATGCATCAGAAATCTGATTTAAGACATAGGAATAAGACAACGCTTGTGGTTTAACATGTGAGGATCCTTGCCTACGCTAACGTTGTCACTGCACTGACGAAGAAGTGTTATGGTTTCGTCTAACTGCGGAGATGTTGATATCGTCTAGCTACGAAGACACTGTTAGTTTCGTGATGCAGAATGACGAAGAGTGAATTGAATCAGAGCTCCCGGTTTCGTGAGAGGATCAGCATTGAAATAGAATGCTATGCATAGTTGTGCCATTTTGATCTTTGGGATTTTACTTTACTTGAAGATTATTTTCAGCTGGACTTACATTATTTTGTGATTGCTGTGCACTTTATTTCGTCGGGATTTAACGTTTCTAGTAAATTATTTTCAGTGAGACTTTTGCTAAGTAGAGATGGTTTCGTTGTTCATTTTTTTGCCTGTCGGGATTTAACGATTCTTGTCAATTATTTTTAGTAGACCTGCTGTTACTTTGCGATCATTGTTATCTTAAATTTTCGTTCTGAATTCAATCTATTAATGAAAAGAAAATATTAATTAAAAAAAAAAGAATCTTCATTTTTTTAAAAAAAAAATTTTTCTGTTATTTTAAGCGATACAATTTAATAAGGGTATTTTGCATTTAACTTTGTTATAAAAAGTTAGTTTTATTATTTTTAAGCCAATAAATCTTCAGGCGTTTTTAATTATAAAAAAAAATTTGGCTATTAGTTAATAAAAATATATTTTTTAATTGAAAAAATATTTAAGCAATGTTTTGTCGTTTTTTAATCATTTAACAATAGTTATAAATATATATTTTTTAAAATTTTTTCAATGCTTGTTTGTTTCATAGTTTATTAGACAGTCAATATCATTTAAAAACAAATACATTCTTAGTAGATTTTATTTTCAAAAAGAAAATTATAAATAAATAAAAAGTTTCAATTAATTTTTACATTCATTAAGTATAGAATTTGACCATTAGTTAATACAACTTTATTATTTTAAATAAATAAATAAAAGAATGTCTAACAATGCTTCAAAAGAACGTTTTTTTTCAACGAATAATTTGAAAAATGTTTTACTAAAGCAAACATTGCTGTAGTTTATTTTTTCTTTTCATTTTTTTTTCTCCTTCTTTCTTTTAACTTTTAATACGTGTATGTAAAATATTTTGTTAAAGTTTCATTACTATTTTTAAAACAATAAATCTTAAGACTATTTTTTTAAAAAAAAGCACCTTTTAAGCCCTCAAATATTTTTAAGCACTATATACATTAACAAAATGTAAAATAATTTTCAAAGACTTTACATGATCATGATAAAATAATCAATTTCTGACAAAGAACTCTGTTAGATTATGTTAGCCATAATAAAAATATCAAAAGGCTTTTCGGTTTAATATCAAACAGCGAAAAATGAAGCCTGAAACTGAGAATATCTTGCAAAATGCAGCAGAGTTACACGTGAGAGTGGAAGAATCTTACTGAACCCTGTTCAGTAGACGCACATGTGGACTCGCAAGTATTTCATCAAACATGTAAAGTGAATGGCACTTTCATACGATATGGATCGACAGTATTACATGATCAAGAAAAAAATCTCTTTAAAACTTAGATGGTAATAAGTTTCTTCAACATTGTTAAAAGTAGCATAACTACCAACATATTCAGAGCATAACTATAAACGAAACAAAATTAAAAATTTTCTCAGTTACCACTAGATCAAAATGCTTGATAAAATATTATACTGCTGTTGAGTGATTCGTTTGTTCACTGATCTTCACCAAGCATACGTTTCAACTTAAAACTTGTTTATCTTCTGTGTGCTTGATGGATCACAATAGAAAGATTTGGACAATTTGATAGGCACCTCAGACGATCTACTCTTTTGATGCAAGCTAAAGTAGTAGTGCAACTGCGCGGGATTTAGCAGCACAATAAAAGCAGAAAAATCGGAAGATGATTAAAAAACTGGTAACTGGAATAGTTGGTGGCTATGTAATATCTGTCCGCAAGATGCTTTCAATAATAACAAAGATTTATGTTACTAATTTACGGTGACAAAAACAAATAATCAATGTAATTTTTTATTGAATACGTAATTTTCTTTTAATTCTAATATTATGGACAATATTCTCGCATTTTGTTGGAGGGGGGGGGGAGAGAATACACTAATTATTTCTTTTATCGCGTTTTACAAATCATCCTCACATTAAAATAAACAAACAAATATCATGAAATCAGTTGCAGTAATTACCGGACAACAGAATCATGCAACTTGTCAGAGAGGGGTTACTTAAATTAATGTTTCACCATTTGATTGCTTTAATAAATAATATGGTATTAAAAATATCTGGTTTTAAAAACAATGTAGAAATCAAAAGCAATAACTACAAAAAAAATGTGACTGAACCATTGCCTTAAAAGGAGAGGAACAAATGCGCAATTCGCACTTCCCAATCACCTAAAAAATATATTGGGATTTCTAAAAGTCACGTGAAAATCAATGTCAATAACTGCTGAAAATACAATCAAAATGAAGTTATGATATTGGCATAAATTGAGTGCTGTAAAAGGTGATTATTTAAATGCGCAATTCAAATTTTACTTGCAAATTTCTGCAGAAAGCAAACCAAAATTATTTACTTCCCAAAAGAAAAATCTTTCTGCAAGAACTCTTTCTGTAAGAAGAAGTTCTGCGACAAAGTCGCAATGATTTTGACACGGGGCATGTCATCATGAATAAAAATAAGTGCTCATTAGTAACCAAATACATTTTACTCAAATGGCACTATAACTGTAAAAATCATACATGTGTATATGCAAGCATATATAAGTTAATAATACTAAAAAAACACATGCCTGAAATACAGAAGTAGATTTAAAAGAAATGCCAAATTTAGAGGATACCGAAGCTTGCACAGATTGGAGGATTCTTGATTTTTATGTGTTGGCAATAAGCACCCTTTCTTGGTAAGACTGTCAGTATTTGGCAGAAAATATAACACAGCCAAACACTGACAGTCTTAACGAAGAATGGCACTCCTCAGTATTCAAATCTTTTATCAGTTTTAAAATCCATTGTATATGTTCTTCCCCATCTTGCTAGAAATCAACTATGCAAATGTTCGCATTTCATAAAACAAATAATTTTCTATTAGATCACCAAAGAGAACAATGATAACTTTTTTTTTAAAAATTATTTCTACAACATGTAATACAACAGTCCATAATAAAGATGGCCAAAACTATTAACAAAACTAAAATTAAAATATATACTAAACCTGAAAATATATAAATCTGATAGAATTTAATCAATTTTAAATAGAAGTTTTGGAGCATTTTAGAACTTGAAATAATTGAATTCTGTTTCAATATAGGGTGGGACGGTGTAAATATAGAGTTTGACAATTATTTATACAGTAGGGAACCGATTATCCGGAACGATCGGGATCATCGCTATTCCGGATAACTGATTTTTCCGGTTTTCTGAATTGCTACAAAAAGACGTTTTTTTATTGTTAAACCCAACTAAAAAACCCTCAAATATTAGGAAATAATCTTAAAAAGAAGAAAAAACGATGAAGTAATACAGTAATGATTATTTCTAAAATGATGGTATGGTAAACATCTTTCAAAAAAGAAAGAAAAATCCTAAAATGTTATGAGATTTTATTTTTTTTTTTTTAAAATTGCGGGAAAATTTACCGAGTTTCGTTCCGGTTTTCTGATTTCCGGATAACGGGTTCTGTACTGTATAAACAAAACATCTTATTTAAAATAGACAAAATTTATTAGTTGTAGTGGTGTGATCGTCAAAACCATCTAGTGCACCTCTTCAAGCTGTTTACGAATTTAAAACACATTTTTCTTATTAAAAAATAAATAAATTATTACTTACAAATTAATTAGAATTGTGTATTTTGGTAAAATTTATAGTTATAATAAAAAAAATTAATACAAAATAGAAACACATTACAATATACAAATTAATTTTCCATTAAATTAAATTTATAAAAGGCACAATAAAATTGAATAAACAGGAAGATCAAAGATGAACAGATAGCACCAGGTAGTAAAAAATTCTTTTTTCCTTAAGTAAATTAAAATTTCAATTTTACTCACTATCCACTAATTGAAATCCACATTTCAGAACAGTTTCACGAATTAAGACCGGCGTGATAGTAGAAAGCTTCCACTTCATCACTGTTAGGACGTCTTCCGGTAGTTTTTCAACTGTAAAAGCAAAATATATTTAAAATACAAAAATCTAAATTTCATTACAGCTGAGTGTAAGAAAAATGAATTAGTTATACAAGGTGTTACAAAACAGTAAGAAGTATTTATTATACCTTGACAAAACAAACACCACTCAGGATGCAAAGCAAAAAAGGAAGCTTCCTTTTATGGAGTGACTGAAATGTTACTTCTTGGAAAACTTATCACTCAGCTGCATTTCAAAATAAAAATTGTTCTGCATGGGCTTTGGTTGTTCTATGATATAAACTGCTTTTTGAGTACTTTCGGCTAGGGTTTGACACAGTATATGATTCACAAATATGTTAAACAAATAAATTTTTAACAAAATGGCTTAGTCTATAAATGGAAATCACACTTAGATGTTTAAAATTCACCTAAGAAATATCATGCATGATTGGCATGGCTTTTTTCAATTTCTTTTAGTTCTTGGTATTCAATCTCATTATCTTATGCCCTAATTCTTTCCCTAAAAAGGAATAGCCATTAACTAGACTTAGATAATAAAAAAAAAAATTCAACAAAAAATAAGCACCCTTTAAGCAATCAAAAAAAATTTTAAGCAGAACAAAAATATTAGGATATGCACGCTAATAAATTTTTTAGTTGTTGAAAGTACTTTATACATACCAGGGGTCTGTCCAGACATTTTGTGAAAGGTCCTGTTTTTATAAAATTGTGAAAAGTTACTCGTAATTTGTGAATATAAAATAAACGTTAAGTCACATTCTTTCAACGAAGGTCCTGCTTTTATGAATTTCTGCAAATAGGGTCCGGTTATTGCAAAAAACTTTTTTTAAGGAGTTTTTAAATTGTAAATAGATACAAGATTATGCTCAGCACTGTAAAATTATAATTAAAAAAAATTCGATTTCCAAAAAAAAAAAGAAACAGCAATTGTTGCTTCTAAATTAGAGGTGCAACACACAAATATTTGGTATTTAGCCTATATTGCTGAACGAAGAATATTTATTTCGGACAAATAATGGAATAGTCTGCCGAATACAAAACTTAATTTGTTTACATCCATCTTTCTTGTTTTCCCCGCTGGGCAGTGTTTATACGATTAATAAAACAATAATGAAGATAATCAAATTTGTGTAGGGTCCGTTTTTATGAATAGATATGTTGTGAAGGGTTCGTTAACGGACCCAATTTCTTCTAAACAGACCCCTGCATACATTAACAAAATGCAAAATAATTTTCTAAGTTTAACATGTCCATGATAAAATATCTAGTTTCTGACAAATTCCTTTCATTATTATATTCTTCTTCTTGGCACTACAACCATTTACCGTCCAAGGCCACCTCAGTTTACAGTAATGAAACTTTAAAGAAAAACAGCCTAATGCAGTCATGTCAAAGATACGGCCCGCGATATGTCACAGAAAGAAGAATCAAGTTTTTTTTGAGCTTTTAGACTTCACTCGATTCCTCTACAGAAGTTTTAAAATGTGCACACTACATTTAAAAGTAATTTCAAGGGCAGCGCGTGCCTAGACAAGCGAGAGAGATAGACAGTAACGACATTTCTTAGCAACAGGCGAAATCTTTGACTGGAATATACTTAGCAGCACAACTACGGATGGCGCTCCTGCACATGGCTGGCAATCATTCGGGCATTGTAACTAAATTAAAACAGAAAACATCAGGGAATTTTGTGGGATTTCCCTGTATAATTCATCAGGAATCATTGGCATCCAAGCATTTAAAAATGGACCATGCCATGCTACTCATAATTAAAATAGTAAATTTTATAAGGAGCAGAGGACTAAATCACCGACAGTTAAGACAGTTTTTACAAGATTTGGGCGAAAATTTTTTTGATGTCCCTTATTTCCCTGAAGTTCGTTGGCTCAGTCGAGGAGTAGTTTTAGAAAGATTTTTTGCATTACGTGACCCTATTCAAGCTTTTGTGTAAGAAAAAGGCAACCCAATTGATTATGACAATGATTGGTGGATAGATTGTGTCTTTTTGGTAGATATGAATCAACACTTGACTGATCTGAATGCAAAGTTACAGGGTAAAAATCTGATTGTCACTCAAATGTATTCAAGCCTTTGAAACTAAGTCCCTCATTTAAAATCATTTGGCACAGTGAACCAAAAAAAATTGGATCAGTATTCTCAACTTCTGCAAAATCTGATCACGGAATTCCCAATTTTCAACAATCCATTCAATTTTGAAGCTTCACAGGCACCAGTTCATTTGCAAATGGAGTTGATAAATCTTCAATCGAACAGTATTTTGAAAGAAAAATTTAAAGAGGTTAACGTTCTTACATTTCATACACAATATTTCAAGAGTTTGGATAACTACCCAGAATTAAAAAAGCATGCAGCATGCATTCTGAAAACAAGAGAAGTCAGGTATCTGGATTCTCGAGCTCAAAATAATTACCATCTTTTAAAACTTTGATATGATTTTTAACAACCGTATATTATATACCATATAATTAGATAAATGTTATAATCAGTACATTTTTTTTATTTGAATCTGGCCTGCCTACACATTCTAAATTTAATATATGGTCCTCTGCAAAATTGAGTTTGACACCTCTGGCCTAATGCTTCAGATAGTACCTACTATATTTATTGTTCTCATTAAACTAATTANCGTTGTAACTAAATTAAAACAGAAAACATCAGGGAATTTTGTGGGATTTCCCTGTATAATTCATCAGGAATCATTGGCATCCAAGCATTTAAAAATGGACCATGTCATGCTACCTATAATTAAAATAGTAAATTTTATAAGGAGCAGAGGACTAAATCACAGACAGTTCAGGCAGTTTTTACAAGATTTGGGCAAAAATTTTTTTGATGTCCCTTATTTCCCCGAAGTTCATTGGCTCAGTCGAGGAGTAGTTTTAAAAAGATTTTTTGCATTACGTGACCCTATTCAAGCTTTCGTGTAAGAAAAAGGCAACCCAATTGATTATGACAATGATTTGTGGATTGATTGTGTCTTTTTGGTAGATATAAATTAACACTTGACTGCTGAATGTAAAGTTACAGGGTAAAAATCTGATTGTCACTCAAATGTATTCAAGCCTTTGAAACAAAGTCCCTCATTTAAAATCATTAGCCAGTGAACCAAAAAAAATTGGATCAGTATTCTCAACTTCTGAAAAATCTGATCACGGAATTCAACAATCGTTTTGAAGACTTCCACAAGATGAATGAAAAGGAATTCCCAATTTTCAACAATCCATTCAATTTTGAAGCTTCACAGGCACTAGTTCAAATCTTCAATCGGACAGTATTTTGAAAGAAAAATTTAAAGAGGTTAACGTTCTTAGAGTTTGGATAACTACCCGGAATTAAAAAAGCATGCAGCACACATTCTGAAAACAAGAGAAGTCAGGTATCTGGATTCTCGAGCTCAAAATAATTACCAGGGATCTGTCTAGGTTTTTGTGAAAGGTACCTATTTTGTGAAAATTTAGACATAATTTGTGAAAAATTATAAATTATATTAAAAAATCAATACAAAAATAACATTTTAAGAAAAAGTATTTTGTGAAACTACCGTTTTACCTAAAATTGAATTTGTGAAGGTACCGCTAAACGGTAGTAAATTCGGCATGGACAGACCCCTGATTACCATCTTTTATAACTTTGATATGATTTTTAACAACCGTATATTATATACCATATAATTAGATAAATAAAATGCTATAATCAGTAAATTTTTTTTATTTGAATCTGGCCCGCCTAAACATTCTAAATTTAATATATGGCCCTCTGCAAAATTGAGTTTGACACCTCTGTCCTAATGCTTCAGATAGTACCTACTATATTTATTGTTTTCATTAAACTAATTAACGCCCAAACCAATATAATAATTAGAATTTTAAATGTCTTCCACCATTCCATAAAAGTCTTTTTGGACACGTTTCTCAAAAAGTTAAGGATGTGCCTTTTAGCCATGAATTATTCCCTATATTAACTCAGAACTAATAGATAGAACTCATACTCAGACCATATTAACTCAGAACTAATAGAAATTATTATATTTGACCATTACATATACAGGGTACCTGCTACATTTCAGATTTTCAAATTCATGAAATTTAATGACTTTCAATGACTAATTCGAAGAATTTCTCATAACGTAACAAAGTTACTATTTTTACTGACAAAAACACAACAATACATTTAAAAAAGCATTATAATAACATTAATTGAAATGATAGGTATAACCAAAACTGTTGTATTCTGCATTTTCATTAGATTTTAAATTTAAAAAAAAGAGTAAAGAAAGAGTTGAAGCAATTGAATAGCTGGAAAAAATATAAAGGCAAATTTTTTTTCCTACAGAATTATATTCTAAAGATACTTTTCTTGTTCATCGGAAAGGCAAGAAATACTCCTGCTTTTTATGTTCTCAATTCGGAATAAAAAAAAACTCGCCAATGACTGACTCAGCTAGGATTTTAAATAGATAAAATAAAAAAAATTATAATAAAAATTCTAAAATCATAGAAGTTTATAAGATAATTTACTCTAGAAATGACATTTTTCTTTCATTTTTGAAAGAACATAATTTTTAAAGAACATCATAAAAACCTTTTATATTTCAATAAAATATGACCGTGAGTGGGGATTTTAATACAAATTCAGATATTCGGAACACCAAGAAAGCGGAATTCAATTTAAAAAAATTAAATTTTTTGGCAACTTAAATCCATGACTTTCCAGACTTTTTTTTAGAAAAAAAAAAGTTAAAATCATGACAAATTTTGTTCAATACCGAAATTCATGGCTTTCCAGGTGAGTAGATACCCTGCATATAGATAATTGACCTTATAGTTTGAATTTACACATTTCTTTTTATCTAGGAACAAAATAATCATTTACCAATTTCGTCTTTGGTGGAGAAATACAGCATAGGAGATAAACTTTTAAATAAACTTTGAATAATAGGCGATTTAGCACTTGTTTTGGACTGAGAAGTTTCTTCAAGATTCAAACCATTTAGGTCTTCTGATATTGCAGTTGACTTTGGACATAAGTTATTTAAACTTGCACAGTTATCACTAGATAAATCTTGCGAAGAATCTTTGCATTCATCAACATCTGAAGAAAAATAATAATTCATCAATTACAAAACATTTGACCAATTTATCTTTATAGCAAATATAAAATGTTAATTACTTACCAATTTCCATTAAACTGGTAGTATTTTCATCATAACTATTGCTAAAAATAAATTTAAAATAATTTAAATCATTTGATGTATAATATTTTACACTAAAAATAAATGCACAATAACCAACTCTTGAATTCATATCTTTAGTATCGATAGCAAATATCAAATAAAAAATGTGATTAAAGTTTAGTTTTGTGTGAGTAATTATAAATAATTATAGCTAATGTAACTTAATAAAGCAATAGTTTTTATCATACACTAAAAATATATTTTTTTGACAAAAAAGTACTACATTGACATTCTGACAAAAAGTACTACCGTAAAAAAATCTATTACCAATGGTAGAGTCATTTATTGATCATAGAGCTATTGATGCTAATTAGTGATGTAACGAATAGTGATGGGGCCGAATATTCGGCCAAATTTTAGGCCCAATACTTAATTTTTAAAAATTTCTCTTTTGATTGTAATTAAAGTAATTTTCAAATTTTAAATTAAAAATGAAATAAATATTAACAAAATTGCTTTTTTTTATCTTTGTATATTCAAAAAAATTTTAACAACTTGATGCCAATAACAAGGCAATATGGCTTTTATAAATCTAAATAATTAATAATAGCAAATTTATTTATAGTTATACTTGTAATTTATATGCTATTTTATTTAAGTTAAGAAGTCATTACTTACTACTGTTAAATGTATTCTTAACTATTTTTTTTGTCAGAAAAATTATTAAAACTCAGAAAATTAAGAACTTTTTAAAAGTTTCACTTTTGAAATTTTAATTTTGTAATTAAATAACTTTCAAATTTTAAAATAAAAATGAAATAAATATGAACAAATTTGCTTTTTTAAACTTTGTATATTTTAAAATTTTTTTAACAACTTGATGTAATATTTTAAATATCTTGATGCCAACAATAAGGCTTTCACAAATCTAAATAATTAATAATAGCATATACTTCATTATTCGGGCGAATAACTTCAGTATTCGGCTAGGCCGAATATTCGGCAAAAGGGCCGAATACCGAATAGAGGCCGAATATTCGTTACATCCCTAATGCTAATTGAGTAACTTGCTTACTTATCCTCTCACAGATAAGGCATTTAACATGTCACTCCATCAAATCCTGTCCTTAGCAATAAACACAGCCTGTCCCCAATTTAACTAATTAGTATCTATTAAACACCTAATATCAAGACTACTAGTCTACTAGTAGTACCGTACCTTCAACCACACTTAAATTAAATATCACCAGCATCAAAAATAGTTTTACACGGTTCCCAGAAACAGAAGAGTAAATAGTATCAATATTATCTGTACTCTGATATCCAAATATTTCATAATTGGAGGAATTTAACTCACCAAGTCACAGGTTTCTTTTTCTTTATTTTTCAAGAAAAAGATCCAAAAAAATTTAGTGTACTCTACTGATCAACAAATTCAAAACCATCAATCGACTGATGATAGATATTGAAATTTAGGGTTTTGTTAACTTACAGGGTATCTGCTACATTTTAGATTTTCAAATTCATGACTTTCCATGACTAATTCCAAGAACTTCTCATGACTTATCGAAGTTACTATTTTCTCCGAATAAACAGAATAATAAATTTAAAAAGCATTATAATAACATTCATCGAAATGATAGGTATAACCAAAACTGTTTTACTCTGCATCTTCATATTTATTGATTTAAAATTTATAAAACAGAGAAAAGAAAGAGTTGAAGCAATAAAATAGCTGAAAAAATGATAGCTGAGCAAAAAAAAATTTTTTTTCTGCAGAATTATATTCCAAAGATAATTTTCTTGTTCATCAGAAAGGAAAGAAATACTTCTGATTTTTCTATTCTTATTTTAGAATAAAAAAATTTTGCCAATGACTAGCTTGCTTAAGTTTGTCTTGCTTTTTAAATTTATAAAATAAAAATAACTCTGAAATCACATTAAAACATACTTCACTCAAGAAATATTTTTTCTCTAGAAATACTTTTTCTTTTTTGAAAGAACACCATAATTTTTAAAGAACATGATAAAAACATTTTACATTTTAATAAATATGACTGAGAGGGGACTTTGTTACAAATTCAGATATTCGGAACACCATGATATTGGGGGGGGGCAGAGGAATCCCATNGGGCAGAGGAATCACATTCTAAAAATAAATTTTTTCTGCAACCTAAATCAATGACTTTTTATGATTTTTCAAAAAAGAAAATACAGTGGAGCATCGTTTATACGACGATCACTTATACGACGTTTACATTTATACGACGTTTTAGTGTGGTCCCAATTTATTCCTATTCATTTTAATGTAAAAATATATCGTTTATACGACGCACAGAATCGGTTATACGTCGGTTTTTAGATTTTGTTCACGTTTATTTAATTTTTTATTTTTTCTTGTGTATTTTAAAAAAGGGCGGAATTTGCCAACAAGAATGCTTGGATGACGACCGTAATTTTTACTAGATGACTGAAAAAACTAGACAATGTTATGAAGAGGCAAAAACGAAAAATTTTGATATTCATCAACCAATGTCCAGCACACCCATCGATACTAATTATTTTGGAAAATGTAAAAGCTATCTTTTCTCCTGCAAATTGCACAAGTGCGCTTCAGCCATTAGATTTGGCCGTGATTAGAAATCTAAAATTGCATCATAGAAAGCAGTTCAACTTGCTATTCACAAAGCATTCTAGAGACTAATATCAAGAAAATATAATTAAAGGTAACATACATTCAAATGGCTCACTGCAATTTTTCTTCTTTGGTTATTTGTTTGTTTTGCTTCGTCTAATTTAGAAATTTATGTAAATCAACATGTTAAACATTAAAATTAACTGAAAACAGAGTTAGTTTCAGTTTTAGAAGTAAAAATCGATTATACGACGTTATCGTTTATACGACGTTTTTCGGTGGTCCCTTCGTCGTCGTATAAACGATGCTCCACTGTAGTTAAAATCATGACAAATTTTGTTCAATACCGAAATTCATGACTTTCCAGGTGCACAGATACCCTGCACTTAAAAGATTTTTGTTTACACCTCTTTCGGAAATTATGCAGAGATTCACTGTGTCCCTTAATTTGTTCACAATTCCCTTAATTTGCATTAAGATCGTTTATAAAAGAATCAGCACAAAAAGACACTTCAATGCCCAGTCAAAGACCATTAGAGTTTGCCAGCAATCTTTGGTATATGTGTGTTTTTTTGTAACAAGCAATTAATTTTGTTCTTACTAGCAACTCGTTTTTTGTGAGCTGATGAAATTTGGCCCATGCACTCTAGTGCAGAAGTAGGAAATTACATTACTATAAAAAGTTTGCCCTATAGAACATTGGTTCCAATCTGAAAGACTATTTCAGTGTACTCTATAGCAGAAGAAGAAATAAATTAATAATTAAAAAAACAAGGAATTTCTCAAATCTAGATTTAATTGTGAAAAACCACAAAAATTTATTATCAACTTAGTTAGAAAATAAATTTAAACAGATTTACTGAAAATGAGTGTGATGAGAAAATGTAAATAAATAAATAAATAAAATATTTATACAAAATATATAAATACAATGCTAATTTATCATTTTATTACTTACTGAACTTTTATATATTCAATCATAATTTATAAATAGAGATAACGTAATTTTTTTACCTGACATTATCAAGGCTGTGAGTAGGTGAACTGTTTTTAGAGCTTTCGAACCCAGAATCAGTTGAAAAAGAATTTAAAACTAATGAGTTTTCTTTCTCGTAATTTTGAGCAGAAGCTTCAGAGTCTTTTTCAATTTCAACAGTTATATTTGGCAGAACGGAAGTTGAATCATGAGAAGTGTTAATGAAAGTACAATTGTTAGACTCAAAAGGCACATAGGAGCTGAATTCCATGTTTTGCATATTATCTCTGCGTTTTACACACTCGACTAATATATTACTGGCCTCTCTTTTACGAGAAAGATTTCTTTTGAGCACTTGGTCCACTGAATTCGGTGGCTGATTACACATATTTTCATCTTGAGTTAATGAATTAGTATCCAGAATATCTTTTTTCTCTGTTTTATCTTTTATCTCACTATCAGCAGAGGAAAAATTGAAAGACTTTTCTTTACAAACATCTTGAGCATAAAATGGCAATGGTTCCGACATGCACACCAGTGATTTAGACATTATGACGGACAGTAAAACTTAATAAAGAGAATAAAAACTCATTCTATAAAAATCCAACAAATTGAGTAATATATAAGCCTGATTATGGAAGAAATATAAATTTGATGACATCATATTTGACCTGAAAACAGTAAGAATGAATTAGAAAAATTATCAAATTAAATGTCAAAAAATTAGAATTTAATCAGATAAATGCCATATATTGGTTAAACTATTTAAAAAGACAAAAATTAGAATAAATGGAGCAAATATTTATACATAACTAGCTGGGACAAAATGAAAAGTTAAAAGTGAACTTTTCATAAAATAATACATTTAACTATATTTTATTTAACAATTTTGCATCATATTACATCTTCAGGATAATTTATTTTTAGGCTATTTATGTTACATAATGAAGCTTATCTATTCAACTTAAATTTTCGTTTTAATGTTGCAATTTTATCTGAATTTAAAATTTTATGAGCTTGCAGATACTTTTGGATTGTTTGCGCAGATACTTTTTTTTAAATTTTTAATTATCTTACTATGGTTATTAATCTCTACAGTTCTAACACGTTGATAAGAATTTGCCCTAATCTCAAAATAAGCATAGAGGACATTGTCTAAAGATAGGCTATGAGTGACATAAAAGTCATAAATATGAGTAACTGTTACACAGTGGTTATAAAAATAGCATGGGGAGATTTCCATATTTTGATCTGTGGCAGAATAATTGCCAAGTCCTGGCAATTTCCGCACAGCAGCCTACAAGAAAATAATAAATAAAAAAAACATCACAGTGAGGGACCAACTGAAAATGCAAAGCCATCTCCAGGCACACACCGAAATGTTTCTTTTTTTTAAAGTGCAAGTTCATATTATTTACAAAAAAGCATGATTTCATGCAATGACAATGTCTTCCAAACAAAACAAAAAGTTTGCAACCTATTTTCCAAACAATGGAACTATAAATTGCACAGACTAGGAAATTTTACAAATTATAATTATTTAATAAAAATGTCATTTCCAAATAGTATTGATATGTACATAAATCAAATTTCATAGCATACAGCATTGAGAAATGTTAACATCCATTAAAATTGGCCATTCTCATCATATGAATCTAATAATCAAAATTTGAATTTTTAGGCATAGGGATTATATAAAAAATTCTCTTAAAAAGCAAATGATACATGATTCTCATCATAAGAATCTAATAATCAAAATTTGAATTTTTAGGCATATGGATTATATAAAATTTTCTCTTAAAAAGCAAATGATACATGATTCTCATCATAAGAATCTAATATTCAAAATTTGAATTTTTAGGCATAGGGATTATAAAAAATTTTCTCTTAAAAAGCAAAGATTCATGATTCTCATAATAAGAATATAATAATCAAAATTTGAATTTTTAGGCATGGGGTTTATAAAATTTTCAATTAAAAAAGCAAATGATACATGAGAACACTGGATATATTTCTGTATCATGATCTGTGGCAGAATAATAGCCAAGTCTTGGCAACTTCCGGGCAACGGCCAGCGAGAAGCTTAAAAAAAAACCATCACAGAAAGGTATAACTCAATAGAGCTCCCTCCGTGACACACATCAACATGTTTATTGATTTTTTAAAAAAATTGCAAGTTTAAAATTTATTAGGCACCTTGGCAATTGTAATTTGTGGGACAGTACGTTATGAATTTATGCTTTTAATATAGGGGATATTTCCATATCACGATCTGTTGCGCAAACTACAATAGCCAAGGTGCCAAATAGATTTGAAACTTGCAAATTTTTTAATAAAAACGTGTAGATGTTTGCCCTGGGGTTGCTACGATTTATATATTTCGAGCTGATTTTTCTGGTTTCTCGCAAGTCACTGCCTGGAAGTTGCCAAGACTGGGTGATTATTCTGCCACAGATCAGGAAACAGAAGTCTTCCCATTGACATATATTACTTTTACAAATTCCTTACTTTTGTATATATTGCTTATTTTATTACTATTATTGCTTATTTCAATGCATTAAAAAAAATTCGAAAATTATCAAATTCGCAAAAAATATAAACATACAAATTGAACTAAGTTAATTGCTTACATCTATGACCGAAATATAAATAAATAATATTTCAGACGCATTACACATAAAAAAAATTACAATTACGAGAATATAATGAAAAATTTATAAAGAAATTGACTAAATATGAGTTTTGTTGATATTATATATCGCATATAATATCAACAGAACCTCATTTCATCATTTTACAATATTAATAGCTCAGCAAATATTTCCTCCATAGGTAGAACAAAACTTTTGAGATACGTAGTTGATGACGATTCATTTTAATTTGCAATAGTTAACATATATAATAAATGCTAACAATACGTTAAATATCAGTGTGAATATTTGAGGAGTAAAGAACAACATGAATAATCGCGAACATTAAAACCAACAGTCAAATAATATAGCAAAACCTAAAATTAGCGATATTTAGCCTTGGCACAGTGGCTCTGATTACATCGATCCGGCAACACTATAAAAAAAAAAATTCCATTTTCATTGACATTTATAGAAATAGGTAATTAATAATCATCTCATACACAATTACATACCTCTCAAAGCTTACAAAAGGTTTTATTTCTACAAAAAATCTTTCCTAAACTTAAGACATAAATTAATAACAAGAGTGCGACTTACATTGATGATTGTTTAAATATTCCACGCGCGAAGCAGACCGCCATAGTTAATAATGTTCGAAGTTTAGTTGTACAGTAATTAATCCCTAGGTTAGATATTAGTATATATGTAAGCTACAAGCATACAAGCATAATTTGCAACCACTTTTGTATTACTTTCATCGGGTAAATGAAAATAGAACAGACACAGAGAACTATAGAAACAAAAAGAATTAAATTGCACATAAGTTATCCTAATTTCGTTGTCCCGCAGTAGACTGATCGTTAAGAGATGGTTCCCATCAGATCACCGAAGTCAAGCATCACTGGCTGCAGTCAGTGTGCGGATGGATGACCACTTGGATCAGTCTGCGTAGGGACCGAGGGTGTGCGGTATTGGTCCTCGTTAATCTGTTCTACCGTAAAGTGCTCGACTTCGCGTGCAGGTCGTCGGGCTACCGAAGCAGGGGTGCCATCCCCTCTGCAGAGGATCAAAATTGTGATGGCTTGTCTTCGGATCATCCTCAGGAATGCTTCCCAGACAGTCGCCAATAGCCCATTGTGCAGCTCTGGTGCGACGTAAATGAACTACAACAACAACCTAATTACTTTGCTGCTTAGAGTAGGTAGAAGAGAAAAAAAGATGGCCGCTGACTTGCAAGCAGAGTTTCTACCAAGAGCCACCGTTGTCGTAGTCAGATGTCCCGCGGTGCGAGGGAGGCACATGAGGTCTGAGGGAGCACCATCCACAAAATAATACACTATATGATATGGGTGCGTAACAAGCCAGCTCTTAATAATCAGAATCACGGTCACACCTTAAAATAATATTAAACTTTTAAAATTTATTTTGGTAGGTAGGTGCTTTATTTACTTCACAGAGCTGCACAGTGGGCTATTGGCGACGGTCTTGGAGTATGATCAAAAGACATGCCATCGTAATTTTGATCATTTACAGAGTAAATGGCTCCCCTGCTTCGGTAGCCCGACAACCTGCGAACGAAGTTGAGCACTTTACGGCAGAGCAGTTTAACGAGGACCGATACCATGCACCCTCGGTCCCTACTCAGGCTGATCAAAGTAATCAATCAGCAGCTTACTTAGCGCAGCCAGTGATGCTTGACCTCGGTGTTCTACTGGGAAGCATGTCTAGATCACTGCAAAATTTATTTTGGAAAATAAAAAAATCGGAAATTTTGAATTGGACAAGCCAAATCAAAATCAATGTAGTTTTTCCATCGCTTTTTCGGTAGTTATCACTACGAATTTCCATAGTCTTATAAATCCCAATATTTTTAGCACGACAAAATTAAGATGCGTGAATTTCGGATTTTAGTAATCACTCTTGTGTCCATTTCATACGTAATCCAATTGACTTTTCGACTGTTTTTGAACTTTGTTTCTTTTTCGTTCGTTAAAAAACGGTTTTAAGGTTTAACATTCATGAATTCTATTATAATTCACTGCAGATAAATGTCCTTAAGTTAAAAATATACTAAATTGAATCTTCACTGAATATTAAATCTTATTTTGAGGTATAATGCGTTTGTTTTATTTTGAATAATATACAATATCTTTAATTTGCCTTTATGTTGCTAAATAAAATATCCTTTTTTTTTACTTCAATTAAAGAACATTTCAGTTAATTTATTTTAAATGCTTTTTGTGTTAATATATTATATTTTTGGACAAATATATTACTATGTTGACAGAATGAAAAAAAAATTAACAAAAATTTAGATAAAGCAAAAAAAAAAAAAAAAAAAAAAAAACGAAAATTAGCACCTGTAAGTACTTTTTAACAAGGTTACAAACATTAGCATTTTTTTTACTTGCTCGATTCAAGACAACTTCATTATAAATCTACATTAACTTTTGATAGCTTTTTCAACAGTTACTTTTCCAGGGGTGATTGTGAGCCCAAGTCAAAATTCCAGAAAATTCATTGAGTTAAAAAAAAAAAAAAAAAAAAAGTTTAATAAATATTTAAAGGAATTTAATTTCATGCAAATATATTAATAGTTGACTGATATATTATACTGATATATAAATATATTACTGGAAAAAAAACTGAGTCTGAAACAGTGATGTTTACAAAAAAATTATAAATTGCCATCAGCGTGTATAAATACTTTGGGCATTAATTATAGACAAATTAGGGGGCTTACAATGGGAAAAATAGGGTTTCTTTGACAAACTGCAGAAATTGCTTAAAAAAGCTGCATTGTTACGTAAATAAAATATTTTTTTACTTGGCATAGTTGCTTTTATTTTTGTAAGAGCGTATTTAATAAAATCGTATTTAATAAAATTAGGAAATTTCTCTTCATATACTGTAATACATTGCCCCACATATCCTCGTAATATTAACTTATAATTTTGAAACTAGATCACATATTATAACATAATAAACTACCAAAACAAAAGAAATAATTATAGATAAATTAGGGGGAGCACAATGGAGCCTAACAGCTCATAATCGAACTCAGTATGTGCACATGTGATCCCGCAAGCATTTCATCAAGCATGTAAAATGATTGGCGCTTTCGTATGATACGGAAAGACGAAATGCATTATGCTTGAATAATTTGTGAAAACGTTGAATAGAACAATGTGAAAATCACGCTTTTGCATAATACGTGGCGAAAATCAACATGGTAAAGAAAAAAAATTCTCATTTTCGAAAAGGGAAAACTGAGCACTTTTTAAAAACACCCAATAAAAAAAGCACCTTTAAGGGCTTTTAAAAAACAAAAATAATTACCTTCAAGCACTTTTTAAAAACGCTACGCATCCTGTAACTATTATAAAATAAATTCATTTTTATAAACTCATAACTAAACGCCTAAAACAATTTGAAGCAAATTTTACCAAGTTTGAATATCAGTTCATATGATGTAATTATTAAGTTTTGAGCATATACTATTTAGTTTCACAAAAAGACAAGAGATAGAATTTTTGCAAGGAAAAAAAGTTTTTTTTGAATTTCAGAGGTCCCATGTATAATATAAAGCAAAATACCCTATAGAGCTGTGGTGGTAGGCCACAGGGCCCAAGTCCAAGAGATCGTGGGTTCTACCCCCACCGGCCGAAGACTCCCCGTGTAGTAAATGGTAACTGATGCACATTAAATCTGTCGAGTCACAAAGTCCTCCATGTTCCCATTACAAAACATACCTTTGGGCATGTTGATCCCGGAGAGTTTCCTTGTCTTCTGAATTTGTTCAAACTTACAAGGTTACGGAGTTGAACATTAGTAGTCGTAAACACAAAATTGGATCGGCTGTTCAACGACGGTTATAAAATAAAAATATAAAATATAGAGCCGTGGTGGAAAGTCAGACTTAATGGTACCATCAGGAATTAAGATGACTTTTGATGGAATATAAGTTGAGACAACAATATATGTTGGCCCCCGGTTAATTTTTTTGTTGGGCTATCAAAAACTATCATCAAACCATGTTGGTTCTTGATGGATTTTTTTTGTTGGACCATCGGAAAATACCATCAAACATGGTAAAGAAAAAAAAAATTCTCATTTTCGAAAAGGGAACATTGAGCACTTTTTAAAAAAACCCAATAAAAAAAGCACCTTTAAGGGCTTTCAAAAACGCTACGCACCCAGTAAATATTATAACACCCAGTAACCATTATAAAATAAATTCATTTTTATAAACTCATAACTAAATGCCTAAAACAATTTTAAGCAAATTTGATCCAGTTTGAATATATTTTATCAGTTCATATGATGTGATTATTTAATATTGAGTATATACTATTTAGTTTCACAAAAAGACAAGGGATAGAATTTTGACAAAAAAAAATTATTTTTGAGTTTGAGAGGCCCCATGTATAATATAAATCAAAATACCCTATAGAGCTGTGGTGATAGGGCACAGGACCCATGTCCAAGAGATCGTGGGTTCTATCCCCGCCGATCGAAGACTTCCCGTGTAGTAAATGGTAACTGATGCACGTTAAATCTGTCGAGTCATAAAGTCCTCCATGTTCCCATTACAAAACATACCTTTGGGCATGTTGATCCAGGAGAGTTTTCTTGTCTTCTGGATTTGTTGAAAATTACAAGGTTACGGAGTTGAATATTAGTAGTCGCAAACACAAAATTGGGTCGGTTGCTCAACGACGGTTATAAAATAAAAACATAAAGCCGTGGTGGATGGTCAGACTTAATGGTACCATCGGGAATTAATATGGTTTTTGATGCAATATAAGTTGAGACCAACAATATATGTTGGCCCCTGGTTAATTTTTTTTGTTGGGCTATCAAAAACTACCATCAAACCATGTTGGTTCTTGATGGATTTTTTTTGTTGGACCATCGGAAAATACCATCAAACCATGGTGGTTTTGTTCATGTTGGTCCAATTCCTAATATGAGGTGATGGTCAGTCTTGTTGGTACCATCATAAAATATGATGGTTTTTGATGGAAGTTCATGATGGTTACCGTCTTATTCATGTTGTCATTACTCATTCATCAAAGAAAAACCATCATAAATTTTGTCTTGGGGGGGGATAGAGCGGTTCGTCTTCCATTGAGGTGAACTGGGTTTAAATCCCAGCGATGGCTGGTCGATACGAATACCAAATCCGGCTTGCACTGACCACAGTGCTGACATAAACTATCCTCAGTGGTAGATGGATCCTAAGTTAGAGCCCCTTGTCGTCAGGCTAACCGTGAGATGTTTTTCTCTTCATTTAGTGCAAATGCATATTAATTCCATTAAAATTCTTCCAAGAAGGCAAATTTTACCCAATACTTGATCCAGGAGTTCCCTTGTCTTCTGGATTAGGTTCAAAATTACTAAGATGAACATTAATAATCATAAATCCTAAATTGAGTTGGCTGCTCAACGACGGTTATAAATTACAATATGAATTAATTTCCAGCAAAAAGCTGGAAAAAGATTAGTTTTGGAGTTTGAAGAACAAATTTTCAGAAACTACATAAGGAAAAATAGATCCTGTTGTAAATTATTAAAAAAAATCTTTTCAGAACAGATTATTTAAAAAAAAAAAAAA